CTATATATAATAAACTATAAAGTGATATGTATCTATAAGAATTAAGGGCCTTCGACTAATTATAATACGAGCGCGTCTTCCCTGCTATAATAGGTAGACGCACGAGGTATTGCAGCCCCACCTCCGCTCTAAGTAATGTCGTACCGAGTTCTTTGCGTCTACTCTTAAAAGACCTAGTAATGTCCGCTTCCGAGGGTTTGTCCGCTTCCGAGGGTTTGTCCGCTTCCGAGGGTTATTATTCTTATTGTTCGTGGTTTCGCTAGCCCTAATTAGCTAGGTTTAGCAGCCTTTAAGTGTCAATCTTATCTTATCTTTTTAAAAAACACAGCTCGTCTAGTTTCTATAAGTAAAGGCTATTATAAGTATAGTAGTAGAGGTTCGCTTCGCTTAAAGGGTCGGAAAGATCGAGGAGTAACCTATTATCCGTAAGATCGACCCTAGCTAGCTTAGCTCTATAGTTTTGCCCTTAGTTAGCTAGTCTATTAGTCGCTTAATCTTTTAAGCGGCTTAAAGTTTTAATTAAAGTTTTGATTAAAGGTGCCTTAGGCTCGTAGTGTAGGTAAGGTTGTCTTCGTAGGTATAGCGATAATAGCAAGTAATGTTAATAATAGCGGCGCTAGTCGTCTTAGCGCTAACTTTACCTTCTTCCAATTTCCTTCTTTAACTAATAACAACTCGGCAATACCGTTACTAATATAGCTATATCCTTCCTTCCTTAAATAGTAATACACTCCGTAATACCGTTACTAATATAGCCGCGCCGGCCGCGCCGTTACAAGCGCGACGCCGCCCTCGCCGATCGCCTAGGCCTCGAGGCCTCGATAGAATAAAGGAATAAGAGGGGGACCTAAATACTAGGAGAAGGGCCTTATAAGGCGCGTTAGTAGAGAGGTAGTTTCCTAAAAGAGTAGCGAATAGTTGACGCGTTATAGCGCGCTTGTTAATACTCGGTACGCGTTTACTATAGTAGTATAGTCTTATTGTCCTAGTTTGCCGGCCTCTAATTAGTTAGCTAATAGCACCCCGGGGGTAGTATTATTCCTAGGCGACATTATAGCCCCTTAGCCTTCTTCTTGTTCTTTATACTAGTCTAATACTTATCTAACAACTTAGTTATGTCTTTAAAAGAGGCTTTATCTTCCTACGAGTCCTATTTAGGCGAATAGCCTTGCTATCTTAGGAGGTACTCCTTTTTGCCTTGCCTAGTCCGGTGCTTTAGAATACGTTCTATAGACTATAGCTCTTTACCGTTAGCTAGTATCTCTTTATATTTAGTAGGGGCTTCTTTATTAGAGTCTCCGCGGTAGTAGTATAGTTTAAGGAGGGAGATATAGAAGGTATTATAGATAGTATAGTATAGTAGGAGCTATAACTAATAGGCCTATACGGAAGAGCCCTTAACTTCCCGAATACGGAATAGGCTAATGTACCTTAGTGCTAGTTTAGGGCGTGTTTTGCTATTAGGTAATAGGTGTTTACGGATGCTATTAGCTAGTAACCGGCCCTATACCTATAGGCTAGTTTTAAGCCTATATAAGAGGCCTCCTTCTATAGAGTAGACAGATTATTAACCTCGTATAGCACATTGTTTATATTACACTTCTACAATGCCTATATTGTAGGGCTCTAGTTATTAGCCTAAGCGACAGTCTCGTTATCCTATCTTGCTAAACATAGCTGCCTATATTGCTATAGGTTATATTACCCTCGGTAGCCTATACTATTGCTATAAGTGGTAGTAGTAGTGTTAGTTTCCGTCCTTTATTAGAGCCGAAGGTAGGGCTATCTCTTTATATCTAACAGGTTCGGGTATATTAAAGGTGGTCTCTAGGCACGAATAGCTATAACCGAAGCGAGGGCACGATAAGAGCCTACGATACGGACGATACCGAAGTATCTTAAGGGGCCGTTACGACAAGTAGAGAAACCTCTTAACGAGGGCATCGCTTTAACCCCGAAAAGCTACAAACCCTTAGGACTATTACAGCTTAGGGCCTAGTCTATAACTATAGCTAGCTTCTAAGGACTCGGCTCTAGGTTAAAGACCTATTTAGTACCGCTTGCTCGAGATAAGCTACCGCCCGCCTAAGGAGGAGATAGACTAATTACCTATCGGCCTTGCTTAGTTTGCTAAGACTATCTATACGATAGCAATTTCTAGATTATAGGTCGGATGCCTAGACAGTTCCCCTATTAACCGGGTAGATTGTTTCGGGATTCGCTACCTCGTTCGGATAGTGCTTAGCCTTCTACTAGAAAAAGAAGGTCCCCGCCCCCCTACCTAGCTAAAGGAGATAACGATAGTTAGTAAAGTAGCTAGTTTCTAGGATCTAGGTGTAAATAGAGATTGCAGTTCCTTCCTCCGAGCGGCTTTTGTCTAAATTTACTAAATTAAAGCTCCTAGGGGTGTCTAGGCGACCCCTAGGAGGCTAAACTCTAATACTACCCTAGGGGTAACATTAGAAGAAAACAGCCTAGCATACCATTTTCTCGTATAGCAACATCGAAACAAACTAAACCTACAATATATACTAAAAACACTTTCCTATAGCATTTTATTTTAACTACTTTATAATAATCGAATAAGCTCTAGCGAAAGCGAGTATTACGAATTAGCGGAATCTTCGGAATCTAATAACCTACCGGACCCTATTAACGAAGAGATTAGGCGACGACTAGTTGTTATAAGCGCTATCGACCTAGGGGCTATTAAGCCTTCTACGCCCGAGGCCCTCTATAATATCGTTATAAAGATAATTTAAGGGCAAACTAACCTTCTCCGCTAGAATAGGCGTCGCCCGCTAGAGCTAGGAAGTATTAGGAACCCTTTGTTCGAAGGGTAGAACGCTACGGCGCACGTAGAACGCTTTAAGGACAACTTAGCCGAGTACAGACTCGAAGAGGAGTCGGACTAGTATAAGGTCCGGTCCCTTACGAGGACTACTATTACTAAGCTTTACCGAACCCTTAGAACCCTAGTTAGCTACCTAGAAAAGGACGATAAGTCTAATGCCGACTAGGAGGTCTTTAAGTAGGCCTTTATAAGGGAGTATCGGGATCGCGATAGCCGTCGTATTAAAGGTAGTCGTACGTAGCTTAAGAACCTCTATATAGAGAGGCGCACCGAAGATAACGACCTAAAGGAGTACGTCCGCGAGTTTGTCAAGTTAGCGGACGGTATCGACTAGTAGGACCTCGAGAATTCTTAGAGAACGAGGCTACTCCTTAAAGGGTTGCCGTAGTCTACGGCTAAGCGTGTCTTCCGTCGCTACAAGCTTAGCGAAGCCAATCCCGAGACCTTTAGGAAGTATAAAGAGGTCCTAGAGGCTGTTAAGGACGACATTAACAGCTCCGCTAACGTAAAGAAGTTTATTTACGGCGAGGACCGGAATAACCTAGCCTAGGTAAGGAACGATGCCTCGGGAACTAGAGGGCCTAAGTTTCTTCCTAAATCGCAAAGTAGTCCTAGTACCGTAACTCCTACTATTACTAAGCATTCTTAGGACGTTGCGGACTTAGCTAAATCCCTAGCCTAGCTTAACCTTAATGCGAAAGCACTATAGCGAGTTAGGGAGGTCCTTAATACTAGTATACTAAAGGATGTACTACTAGTCTACTAGGTCTCCGATCCTAACCACTCTAAGGCCCCTTTAGTTAACGTCTACGCTATACGGAAGATCTATTCTAACTTAGATAGCAAGTGCTAGATATACGGCGGTTTCAAATATGTTTAATTAGACTGCCCTATCTAGAAGGAGCTTCTTAAGAGGAAGCTCGTTATATAAGTAAATAGTCGGTTCTACTATACCGATACCGGCGACAAGATTAACTTCGAGTAGGATCGTAGAGCTCCGAAGCTGCCTCAACTTAGGAGTCTTCTAGAGAAGAAGTATAGTAGTAAGATCGAGTTTAAGGACACTAGGAACAGTACCCTCGCCGCTATTACTAAACGAGAAACTTAGAAGGTTAGGGCAAAATAGGTTAAGGAGCGGAGCAGTAATAGTACTACTAAACCTATTAAAGTCAACTTTGTATCTTAGGACCCGGACGTAGTTACTAATGTTTACGCGGTTACTAAGAATAGTGTAGATGTCTACGCTACTATAAGGTCCTAAACCTAGTCCTAGGGCAAGGGTAAGAGCCCGTAGAACCCTACCCGCCCTAGTACGGCAGCCCCTACTAGGATACTTAAGAAGTAGGTAGCTAATAAGGCTAAGAAATAGCGAGAATTAGTCGCTAAGACTAAGACACTCTAGACAGCCGAAGACCGTGTAACCCGAGCTAGTATAGCCTCTCCGGAGGTCTTAGAGACTCCGGATATCGATATAGAGGATGATACTACCGACCTTAGTAGTACCCTAGGCCTAGCTAACCCGCCGGCCTATAAACGAAAGTCAGCCGACCTAAAGAGCTTTCGCTTTAATAGGTATATAAAGAAGTATAGTACCGGGCCTACTAACTCTTACGATATAAAGGCAAATACTCTCTTCTAGGCTTTATAGTTCCTAGACCTTAAGTCTAACGTGTCTATAGGAGAGCTTCTAGTATACGGTTTGCCTACTAACCTATTCTAGAGCCGGATTCCTAACGATACTACCTTTATAAAAGACCTTGTAGCCCTTCGACGTAAATAGGGGCGAGAGGACTATATCGACGTCTCTTCTCTATAGTTCCTTCCTAAATTTTTAGGTGCCTAAGAGTTAGCAGAAGGCGAATTAGTAACCTACGAGAGCTAGGAGACTATCGATAATACTAACGAAGAGGGGATTAAGGAGATAAGCCGAGGGGATAATAATGTCGACCCTGCTTCGGTTTTAGTTTCTATTAAGGCTATCCGATTTACTAGCTAACAAATCGGTCGAGTAGGACCTCCTCGATCTAAGGAACTTTACTCTATCCCTAATAATATAGACCTTTCTATAGTTACCCGTTCCTTTACCGTCGTTCCCGCTATCTATATTTAAGTTACTATCGGAAGCTATAGTTAGCAGTTGCCGGCAATGCTTAATAATGGTTTAGAGTCACTTATTATAAGTAAGCGCTAGGCTAAACAGCTCCGACTGCTAATAAATAGAGATATTTCCCTTAGTATATAGGGAGTAAATAGGGAGGTTGCGCTAGTAGGTACCTGCTATAATATTATAGTAGACGCTTTCGGTATATGCTTTTCCTTTACCTTCTAGATTGCCGCTAACCCGAACACGCTAATTATTCTAGGTCGTCTATAGTCTCGTATAACCTAGGGTATCTAGCGCAACTACGACGATAGCTCCTAGGAAGGAACTATCGCTAACTAGAAGGGCAACCGAGTCGTATTTACTAGTTATATCGGAAACACTAGCTGCAAATCCTACGAGGATATCCTTACTGCTTCTAAACGCTCTTCGGGAAACGCTATAGCGCGGTTATAAGACCGGCAATCTGCGCTATAAGTTAATATAGCTTAAATAGGTTATATCTAGAGGTGCGCCGCTCCGTACGATAAGGCTAGTTCCTAGGCTCTATACTAAGGAGACGAATGCTCGAAGCGATAGCGAGCATAATAGTATAACGACTATCTAGTACACGAATCTCGGTAATAATGCTATCGTAGGCATCGCCGCCGGAAGCGGATCTACCCGAGCCCGAATCCGAACTAACTAATTAGAGCGCCGAGCTAATACTACCCCGGGGGTGTTATTAGGAATCTAACGTTTTCGCCGGAATTATAAATTAGGATTACTAGCTGTATACCTACCGACTTAAGGAGACTTCTAATAAAGTTTACGCGCTGTTCTGTTACGCTAATCTCCGGGCCTAACGTTAAAGAGAGAGGGCTCGGGTATTACGAGCGGTTAGTATATATACCCTATATAAGAGGGTAGCTAATAAGATTAAGCCCGTAAAGGGCAGCGTATATATAACCGATAGGTCTAATCCTAGCGGGAATCCTAACTAGCGACAAAAGTGCCTTAACCGCGAAGCGATATTAATACCTAGGGATAGTCTATACGACTAGAGATATATTACTAAAAAGTTCTCCGCTATTCCTAGGGGATCGAGGCTAACGCCGGAGAGACTAGCGAACATTAAACCTAGTATCGAGCTTTCGGATCTTGAACTAGATTTGCTATACGAGCTTCTATATAACCGCGAAGCCGTATTAGTATATAACTTTACGTACCTAGGCAGGATCAACCCGGAGGTTGCCCCTCTATAGAGGATCCGAACGATCGAGTATAAGCCTTAGGCTTACCTAGGGTTTAAGCTAAACCTAAGCCTAAGAGGTATAGTTAAGGACATAATACGGCAGCGTATAAAGGCTAGCACCTTAGAGCCTTCCTATGCCTCGTATCGCAATCTATACTTCCTAGTTTAGAAGAAGATAGCTCCTAGGGAACTAAAGAAGTATCGGCTAATTAACGCTACCTAGAAGTTTAACGCAGTTACGATTAGAGATGCTAATCTTCCTCCGGAGACTAATAGGTTCTTAGAAGCCTTTGCTAACTGTATAGTAGCCTCGCTAGTTAATGTATTCTCGGGCTACGACTAGATACCTCTCTACCCTAATAGCCGGGACCTTACTAGTTTCGAAACGCCTCTTAGACTATACCGACAAACTACCCTTCCCTAAGGGGCAACTAACTCCGTAGCCTAGTTCGTTCGCATTATAAACTAAGTCCTCGCGGCCTATATCTCCTATATAGCGATACCTTTCCTCGACGACATCGGCATTAAGGGCCCTAAAACTAGGTACGACAATAAAGAAGTAGAGCCTAGTATCCGTAGGTTCTTTCTCGAATATATTTAGAACCTCGATAGTATCCTCTGCGACCTAGAGCGAGCTAACCTAACGGTATATAGGGAGAAGCTTTAGCTCCTATATAAGCGTATAAACATTGTCGGGTTTGTTACTAATAAGAACGGCCGCTATCCTAACAATATACGGGTCCTAAAGATTGTATCCTAGCTAGACCCCGCCTATTAGAAAGATGTCCGGATCTAGCTTAGAGTAGTCTCTTACTTCTATATCTAGGTCGAGAACTTTACGTTAGTATACAAGCCTCTATACGCCTTGCTTAAGAAGGATATAGAGTTTAAATAGACCTCCGTTTACTAAGCCGCTAAGGACAAGGTTACTAAGGCGCTTGTTAGCGCGCCTACGCTTACCTCTATTAACTACTCGGAAGGCGTAGGTCTGCTAATTGTTGCTATCGACTCGAGCGGGGAAGGCTACGGCGAGATACTAATATAGTATAATCGTAAGGAGCCCTCCTTACGTTACCCTATCCGGTACGAGTCCGGTCTATAGAAACTAATCGAGGCCCGATACGATGCTAGTAAGCGAGAGTGCCTTAGTATCTACAAGGCTCTTAAGAAGTTCCGACCTTAGCTCTTTAGAGTGTTCTTTCGCCTAGAAGTCGACGCTTAGACGCTAGTCTATTAACTTAACCGTGCAGCCTCCGACCTGCCTAACTCTACGATAGCTCGGTAGGTTGCCTAGATCTATTTGTTTAATTTCGACGTCTTCTATATTCCTAGTAAGAAGTATACTAGACCGGATAGCCTTTCTAGGAGGCCTGCTATAGAAGAGGATATCGCCGAGATAATAGAAGAAGAGGATATCGACGCGGTTATTAACCGTACCTTCTTTACTACCTTCTATATTAACGCTATGCCGGTAATTACTAGGCCTACTACCGACGACTAACCTAGTAACTAGCCTAACGAAGACCCTACTACTAACGGCGAGGACTAGGACGATACTAAGGCAGGCGAACTAGGTAGGGATAATATCCTTAATAGGGTCTACTCCGACGACTCCTATAATATCGCCTACTTCCTTACTTATACGAAGAGAGCTCCTAGTCTATCGAAGAGTTAATACCGTCGTATTATTCGCTATTCTCGGAGGTTCCTTATTAAGGATCGCATCCTTTAGCGATAGGCTATAGTTAATGCACTACTCTAGCGTATTATTAACGATCTAGCAGCCCGATAAGAAATCCTTCGTTCCGTTTACGATAAGCTCGGCTACCGGGCGGCGGAGGGCACCTTCGATATCCTTTGTCGTTGCTACTAGTAGGACGGCGTATAGGCTAATGTCTCCTACTACTATAAGAGCTATCCTAAGTGCAACTTTAGGAACAGCTACCGACGTCTAGGAGAGCTACGTATCCCTACTGCCTAGTTAGTTAGGGAGCGGTAGTATAGCGATAGGGTCTATCTTAGCCGCAATAATAGCCTATATATTATTCGAGAGGGTCTTTCTCGATAGCCGGAGGCCTATTATTTCTATAAGGGTTGCGGTGCTATTAATGCCCGTAATATAGCTACCTTCCTATTTAAGGATCTGTTTTGCCGCTAGGGAACACCTTACGAGGTTATCTTAGACAACGCTACGAACAATATAGCTAAGGAGGTTTAAGCGCTACTTGTTTCGTACGGGGCGAAGAACGTTCGTATCTCCCCGTACTATCCCTAGTCGAATGCTATTATTAAGCGCGGCTATCGGTCGTTAATTGACGCCCTATCTAAGATAACTAATAGTAGCGACAGATTAGTTCCTATTTCTACCCGCGTCCTAGCCTTTCTCTAGGCGGACCGAACTACTATTATCGATACGACCGGACTTATACTAGCGGAACTTATAATTAGGAGGGACGCCGTTCTTCCTATTGAATTGTCCTATCGTACGTACGGCGTTTACGATTAGGGGTCTATTCGTACTAGGGTAGACCTTCTTACCCTACGGGCTAAGGCTCTTAAGGATATAACTACGACTTCTTAAGAGGGTCTTGCTCGGTAACGTCGGCTTCGGGAAGAGGCTAAGCAGTATTTTAATAACTATAATGCTGTTAATTAGGAGCCTCTAAAGGTTAGCGATATAGTCCTTCTATACCGGTCCGAACTAGAGTATAGTTACTCCTATAAGCTAGCCTTTAAGTAGAAGGGTCCTTATAGAGTAAAGGAGGTCCTTTACTCGGGTTCCGTATACCTTCTTTAGGAGCTAGATAGTGCTACCTTAAAGCACTCTCACCCTCGGGCTAATCTAAAGAAGATCGTTAAGTTACGCGAACCTACCCGCCCTCCGCCGACCGAGGAGGAAGTTAGTACCTCTATAGACCCTCTACCGTCCTTAGATACCTATCGGGAGGAGGATCCTACCGCTATTATAGATCCTGTTCTGCCTAAGAACTATACCTATCCCTAGATTCGTCTTAGTAAGCTATTAGGAATAACTTAAGAATAAAGGGAGGGTTATGTGCGGATTAACTATATATAGAGCGTTTCCGATATTAATTCCGATTCTAATAGTGAACTAGACTTCTAGCTATCTAACTCTAACTCCGAGGAGGAACTCGACTAGTCTAGCGACGAAGACCGCCTAGAATTATAGGTATTAAACGACCCCGACCCCGAGACTAAATAATTGCTTACTCTTCCTTGCCTCTATCTGCCTCTACTACGTTACTTCCTTACTCTTATTAATCGTTCTCCGCGCTGTTAATACAGTGCCGCCCTATACCTTTAATCCTTACCTACTATCCGTTCCTACTAATGTTTATACTCTCGTTTATTGCTTTTAGTTTATCTTGTTATTGTCCTTTGCTTTGCCTTTGCTTTCGATTAATATTGCTATAACTTTATTCCTTTGCTCTTATTTCCTTAGATAGAACTATACGAGGCGTGTTTTCCTAATAATACCCCGGGGGTAGCATTAGGAAAATAGCCGAACCTAACCCTCTACCCTTCTAGGACCACTTCCCTTTACGTTCCTAGACTCTAGTAACTACCCTTAAGTAGCAACGATAATAAGGTACTCTACTAGAGGATGTTCCTGCTATAATTAGCACTAGTTACGTAGAACACTAAGAAAGAGAGGATCCCTCTCCCTTCCTAGCTCTTAAATAGACGTAGCAACCTAGGCCTATAGCCTCTAAGGATAGGGACCTTAGGCCGCTAAGCTTAGTGTCTAGAAGAAAGAAGAACGCACGGGCTACGTTTATATGCCTACCGCTATAAAAGGTAATACTGTATCTATAACGATAGTGCTATAGGCTAATATAAGCTACGCTAGGCCTAGGCGATTTACTCCTAGTTGCCGAGCATCTCTAGAGAAAAGCTAATACTACCCCGGGGATGTTATTAGTCCCGCTAGCCTTACTACTATAGATTACTACTAGGTGCTCGAACTAACTAGTTACATTTCGAGTACGCGAGAATCTACGAAAGCTAGAGGTTAACAAAGGCGCGTAGTCGCTACTAGCAATTAGCTAGATCGATTGTTAAACTTTAGCCTACCCTACTAATAAAGGGGTCTCGTATATAGCTTTACTTTTTAGGGTCTATATATAGTCGTTATCCGTTTGCTTTACCGGAATATACGGACTACGCTACCTTTGTACCCTATTTAAGGCGAGCTTTCTAAGCTCTTTCTTCTACCTAAATACTAACTAACTTACTACCGCCTACGCCCTCCCCCTTCTTCTATCTAAACCCTTTAATTATTATTAACAAGCTACGGACGTTTTTGCAAACTCGTTACTAACTCCTTTCCGCTCTAGTTAACTAAGATGTCTTCCGGCGCCCTAAATCCGCTAGGTGCTAGTAGTAGTAGCAACCTACTAGCCCTAAACCTAGGCGTACTAGTCCCGATCGAAGCCCTATCCGATAGCGCCTTAGCTGCTACAACTAGCCTCGAGCACTACTTCTAGATCGTTACCGCCCTTAAAGACCCTTAAGAGAAGATCTAGAACGCTCGCACCCTACTACGCGTTATTAATAGGAACATTAAGAAGGCTACTATCTTAGTTGCGTATAGTATAAACAACTTACGTTAGTCTATCGGTAAGTATATCTTTAAGCGCGAGGTTCTTAACGATATAGACATCGAACAAGCCTTTCCTATCGTCTATAGCCTCGAGACGGCCGGTACCTAGATTCGTTTGCGCTTTAAGACCCTCGACTAGGCCTTCGAATATTAGGGAGGACTAAGTAGTCTTCCTAAGAGCCTTATTGACTTCGCCTACGGTAGATAAGAGCGTACTAAGTAGGTCTCTTCGTTCGTTAATAAGTACAAGGTCCGTCGTTAAGGCGCCGAGTATCTTTCCCGTACTATAATCTATCGTATATCTACCGCTAGTAAGAAGGTAGGTAAGTAGTTACTTAACTTGTCCTTTACGCTTAACGACTTTACGACAGCCTACTAGAAGAAGCACTACGATGCGATTATCTAGGTCGATCTTAACGTATAGACAACTAAGGATCTACTAAAAGAGAAGGGCTATCGCATTAATAGTATAGGCTTTATTGTTAAAGGTTAAGAGGCTCCTATCGTTAATATTCTTAAACGTAAGGCTCTTCGCCTAGAAACCGAGGCCGATACGGCTACTAGTCTTACGCTCGCTATAGAAATATAGGCTAAAGATCGTCGCTCGATCCGTAACCGTAAGGTCCCTTAAGAAGTTTAAGACGAGCGCGCTAAGGCCGAAGTAGCGCGTAAGAAGGTATTGTATACTCGCTAGGCCCTCCGCAAGGCTACTAAGAAGTATAGCACTCCTTCTAGTACCGACTATAGTACTAACTATAGTACTAACTATAGTAACTCGGATGTTAATATACTAGATATACTACTAGAAGATGTCTCCTCCGAAGGCTCCTTTAGCGAGCGTAGAGATAGAGGCCTCTCGCCGATCCTATTAACTAAGAATATCTATAGTTCTTATAAGGGCGACTCTATCGCATATCTTATTACCGAGATCGATATAGTTCCTAAAGCCGATATAGGCAAAGCTCCTACCGCCCTATCTATCTATTAATAGCTCGACGACCTTAGTAAGCTAGGTAAAGAGCGGTTCACTATATATGCTAACTATATTAAGAAGGCTGCTAAGGTCTATAGTCTCTATGCTAGTACTAAGACGAGTGTCCTTATTAGCCGCCTATTAAAGATTAGACGTGATATCGCTAATTAAGATGCCTTCGCTGCCCTTAAGGCTAATTAGGCCTATACTAACTAGCTTCCTAGACGCCCTATTACCGCCCCGACATCTCTAGGACTCTACGCGTTGAACCCTACTAGTACTATTACTCGCGCCCTTACGCCGACGGATCGCTAGAGCAAGTTCGTTACCGGTATCCTTAGCTAAGGTACTTCCTTCGACCGCTTTCGCTAGACTAGCAATGCTATCTTCCCTTAAGTCTTTAGCTAGTTATAAGAGCCTCGTAGAGCATATCTTCCTTTCCTTATCGACCTAATATAGGAGGAGTTTAAAATATACCTTTAGTATATGCGTGCGATGCCTAAGTCTAAGTAGGAAGGCCGCAATGCCCTTTAAACTTATAGTGTAAGCAACTAAATCGTCCGCTAGTACCGTACCCTATAGCTCTTAGCTATCGCCCTTCGACCTAATTACGTATACGAGCTTATCTCCGTCCCTAAGCCTGCTAAGTTCTTTAAGGTTAGCGGTACTTATAAAAACTGTCCTTCTAAGGAGTCTACTTATCTCGGACAAGATATAGTTAAGCTCGCAGCTAGCGAGGGTACTAGTTACCTACGTATTAAGGTCTGCCTTATATCTAAGGATAAGACTAGCTGCTCTACTATTGTCGAAGGTATATATTAGCCTAAGGTCTTTACGAACTAGGTTAAGAAGCTTAAGGCTCGTAGCCTAGTCCTACTAAGCAAGATCGGCAAGCTTACTAATAAGCACCTTACCGGAGACGACCTCGACTACATGTTCGATAGTTAGCCTAATAGTAAGGGGCGTAAAGCGGAGTAGATCCTTAACCCTCTAAAGGAATGCGAGGTCTCTATTTAGATACTATACCTTCCGTATAGTAATCTAAAGACTAAGAGCAACCGTATATTAATTAACCTAGGCTACTCTCGCGTTATTAACGGCACTAAGGTTAAGGGCTACGAGAACTTAATAGTCTCTTAGGTTGCTAAAGCGTACCGCAATCTAACCGCCCTCCTAGCCTCTAACTCCTTCGTACTATTCGCTTTCCCTACGGCTATCTTAGTCGAAGGCCTCGGCTGCATCTCCGACGCCCTAGTTAGTAGGATTCCTTAGTTAAGTTACGTTGTTTAGAACGAAGTTAAATAGATCCTCTAGCTTAATAACGAAGGACTTAAGGAGTATCTATATAATTAGGAGAAAGCTACGACGGAAAAGGCTACTAACCTCCTCGTTAATTAAGCTTTCTACGAGGGACAGTACTTCGGTACTAATAGCTTTAACGTATACGGAGGAGATTTCGAGAGCCGACTAGCAGATAAGGTTATTGCTAGTAAGGATTACGGCGCGTTAAAGCAATAGTAGGTCTATATAGTATTGCTTAGGAAGTCGTTTTTGTATAATTATAGTATCTAGGATTAATACTACCCCGGGGGTATTATTGCGGAGTTGTAAAAATGGCCTTAGCTAAGACCGCTAAGGATGCATATATGTTTGTTTTAAGCGCGCAATGTGAAGCGTGTCTAGTTAGACACGAAGAAAGGGAGGGATATTAGCTAGTAACCGGCCCTACACCTATAGGCTAGTTTTAAGCCTATATAAGAGGCCTCCTTCTATAGAGTAGACAGATCATTAACCTCGTATAGTACATTGTTTATATTACACTTCCATAATGCCTATATTGCAGGGCTCTAGTTATTAGCCTAAGCGACAGTCTCGTTATCCTATCTTACTAAACATAGCTACCTATATTACTATAGGTTATGTTACCCTCGGTAGCCTATACTATTGCTACAAGTAGTAGTAGTAGTATTGGTTTCCGTCCTTTAATGCGGAGGTTCTTTGTACTAAGTATAACTATATCGCCTTGCTTAAAGGTTATCGGTATATAGTGTTTATTATAATAGGCCTTCTAATAGGCCTAGGCCTTTGCTAGTTTGTTAGCTATCTTAGCGTAAATCTCTCGCATCTTTTGAACCCTTTTAATAGCCGCTAGTGTTTTAGGGGTTAGTACTTAATACGCTTCCCTTTCCTTATACTCGGCCTCGAGCGGTAGGGGATCTTATAGCATAGCAGCGTTCTAGCCTATTATAGCGAAATAGGGTAACACCTTAGTAGATAAGTAGATACTATTGTTATATACGAATTCGGCTAGTTATAGGAGGTTAACGGTTAACCTAGTCGTTAGGGTTCTTATTAATATAGCTGCGTAGGTACTGCTATAGCGTAGCATTCTACCTTTCGGTCTAACTATCTGTTTGCGGATAGAATGCTATAGATAGGCGATGCTTAAGTCTTAGCTATAGGCAAATCTTACTCTAATAGTAGGATATAAATGTCGAGCCTCGATCGGAGACTATCCCCTTAGGGGTCCCCTAATAGCTATAGAAGATGTTGTTCTATAGCGACTTAGCTAGGTTAATAGCCGTCTAATCCTTTCGGGCAGGAATATAACGAGCGCCCTTAGTAAACCGGTCTACGATAACTAGGAGAGCATTATATACATCCTTACTGCCCCTACGCTTAGTAGGCGGGAGGCCTGTAATAAAATCTATTATAAGCTCTGCAAATGGCTTATAAGGGATTAGTAAGAAGGACAACTCGCTAAAAGGCTAATGCTTTAGTGCCTTAATACGTTAATATACGGCATACGTATTTACGTAGTCCTTTATGTCCCGCTTACTATTTAGCTAGTAGTATATGCGCGATAGTAACTCGTACGACCTCTCTATACTATAGTAACCGGCAAGCTTACTATTATAGTGTCGCTTAAGAAGTTCTTATCGGATCGAATGTTTAGCGGGAATATAGTATCTGCCCTTAAACTTTAAATAACCTTTGTTATCGATCGACTAATTGTTACTCTTACTAGATCGAGTCTTTCGTCTACTTATAAGCCTATCGATACGTTTAGTAGCAAAGGCGTCTCTCTACTAAGCACGTAATAGCTTGTCTATAAACGGTTAACTATCCCTATTTGTAAGGTTATTTAATAGTACCCTCGCTATTAAACGAGGTACGCATTATATATATCTAATAGTACTAGTAGCCGGATTAACTGTATTAGTGCTTTAATCGCTATTACTATATATAGCGATATCGACTAGGGAGTTATTATAACTTCTCCTATCTGTGTCCTTAGCCCTTGCCTTAATATGCACTATTAATATAGCAAGAGCATTAACATGCTTTAAGCCGTTGCGGAGTCCGGTAAGCCGCTTATCCTACGCTTGCTTATTAACAATACGGGCTATAGCAATCTTATGCTATAGGGTTAGAAACAATAAATTAATAGATTGCTAAGTCCCGCTGTCGTAATTAGGTCGCCTCGATAGGCTATTAGTAGGGTTGTTTACGCCTAGCCGATATAATATATTAAAATTAAACCTAGCGAGGTAGACGGCCTATCTAGCCTATCGACCTATAACCCTAGTAACCTTCGTAGTTCTACGGAGGTTGTTATAGTCTATATAGACCTGTATTGTATGTTAAGCCCTATCGAGGTAGTGCCTCTAATGCTTAAAGGCCTCGATAATAGCTAGGAGCTCTTGCTCGTAGGTCTCGTAGCGACGTTTAGCATTAATTATCTTCCTTGAGAAGAAGGCAATCGGGTGCTAGTAGGTATTATTAGCCTGCTGTGATATAATAGCTAATACAGCGAACTGTAAAGCGTTAGTCTTAATTCGGATCTGTTTGCTTAGTACGAAATAGTATAATAAGGGGACTTTAGTAAAGCGTTGCTTTAGACCGTTAAAAGCGGCTTATGCTCTATTAGTCTATTTGAATTCTCTAGTAGGGTTGGCCGTAGTTTTGGTAAGCTTAGTTAGTAGTATTATATGCCTCGAATAACCCTTAATAAACCGACGGTAGAAGTTAGCAAAACCTAGGAATAATTAAAGCTCCTTAATAGACGTAGGAACAGGCTATTTAGTAATAGTCTTAATCCGATTAGGATCAGCCTTAATACTATTAGTTAATACGATAAAGCTAAGGAAGGCTACCTCCTTAGCGGCGAAGGTGTATTTAAAAGGCTTGCAATATAGTCTATAGGCTCGTAAGCGATCGAGTACCTTACGGACTGTAGCCTAGTACTCCGCGATGTTAGGGGAGTGTATATAAACTAGGATGTTATCTAGGTAAACTATACAAAGGTAGTCTAGTAGGCCGGATAAGGCCCGATTAATATAGGACTAGAATGTAGTAGGGGCATTAGCTAGCCTAAATAGTATAACTAAGTACTCGAAATAGCTATAGCGAGTGCGGAAGGCTGTCTTCTATTCATCGCCCTTGCGAATACGGATACGGTAGTAGGCGTCCTTAATGTCTAATATAGTATAGTAGCAGGTACTAGAAAGGCGGTCGAGGGTCTTATTAATAAGCGGGAGTAGATAGCGGTCTTTAATAGTAACAGCGTTAAGCCTACGATAATTAACATATAGGCGTAGGCTACTATCCTTCTTTAGTACGAATAGGATAGGTGCACTAGTAAGGCTGTTGCTATATTGTGTCCGGCTATTAGCTAGGTTTTCCTCTAGATACTTACGCAATATAGCAAGCTCTCGTTTACTAAGGTTATAGAGGGGGCTAAAAGGAACCTCCTTGCCCTCTATAATATTAATCTTATAGTCCGTCTCTTTAAACATAGGCAATATCGATGCTAAGTAGTGTTTAAATATATTAATATAGGTCTCTCGAACAGGTTCTAGTATACGCTTAAGTTGTTTAGGATCTATGCTATTAGGGGGCACTAGTTTATCGTTATTACTACCGAGCAGGTCGGCCGTCGGATTAGCTAGGGTTAGGTTGCTAATAAATAGGACCCTAATATTATTAGGGCACTCGCTAATATTAATGTGTTTAATGTCCTCTTTCCTAGCGATTCTAAATCGCTATTATTAACTGCCTAAGTCTATAACTATAGTATAGTACTTAAGAATAGGGTTGCTAATAACAATATTAGATAGGAGGCTGTCTATATCTACTACGTAGGCAGTGAAGTTTAGTAGGCGCTTATTACCGAGGTCGTCTCTTAGGGCTATATAGATATAGTAGGCTCCGTAGGTTAAGTGCCGAGCGTTATTAAACTAAGCAAGGGTTAGTAGGTTAGTCCTAGGCAGTTGTTAAAGGTCTAATTGCTTAGCTAGGCGATAGCTAATAAGGGCACTAACTGAATTTCCTAGATCTAGTGTAACCTTAGTCTTATAGTTAGTTCTATACGTGTCCGATACGAGATAGGTACGTATAATAGCTAGTACAATGTCGATAGTCTTACGCCGTATAAGGCTAATAGTTAGTGCGGCGCTTATTCTTTTTTCGACTAATTAGAAGATTAGCTTATAGGGGTAGCGTTAGCTACTAAGAGGTGCTTTCGGTACTCGGCGGTAGTACGGTCGACTCGGGCCTAATCCCTAGGTTTGTCGCATTAGCCTAGTAGATAGCTAGTACTATCGCAATTGAAGCACTTTAATCTAGTTAGGAGGTTGCTATAGCTGCTATTAGTCGAGCGGTTAGCGTTATAGGGATACGAGCCCCTTCTACGGCCCCTATTACGGCCTCCTCTATATAGCCGTCGGCTACGACCTCTTCCGCGGTCGTTACTGTTCCTATTGTTAGTATTGTTGTCTTAGTAGGAACCTTAGTTTCCTCCGCGGCTACGGTTGCTACGGTTGCTAGTAGGTCGGGTCCTTAATTCTAGTCGTTGCTAGAGCTAGACAGCTCGTTTAGCAGTTTCGACTTTAACTATAAATTGAATACGTATAAGATTGGCCTGTTTAAATATACGGCGGCGGTCCAATTTAAGGACCAATTCCTCTCTCCATTTAGGGCGTATTTCGGAGATCTAGATAGAATTAGTTTTAGTCGGAAGGTCGTCTTCGAGGGTCTTTAAATAGGCCTTAAATAAGCGAGCCGATTAATTAGTCTTTTGTTTAGCTCGAAGGTACTAGTCCTAAGCGTGTTGTTGCCTTAGTATAGGGTTTCTAAGGGTGTCTAGCATAATAGTTTTGTAGGTCTGCTACTAAACAGCAGTCTAGTTATTAAGGGAGTCGAAATAGTTATCCTAGGTGCGTTTTAGGTCGCCGTTAATGTACTATATAGCATAGACGACTAGTAAATAGTCATTTAGTAGAGCCCTTAGTGCGTTTCGTTAGTTAAGCTTATAGTTACGAATGTAGTCGTTATATTGTTTCCGACTAGAGCTATTAAATACGGTACAGTCCTTAAGTTTAGCGTCCTTCTTTTAGACTAAAATAGATAGAGAGGAAGGCCCTACTATTAGTTTAGTATTAGTTGCTAGGGCTTCTTACAGGCGACGAATTTCGAGGAGATTATCCTTTAGCTATTGTTCTTAGCGCAAGGCAGTAAGCCTATTTTAAGTAGCTCCTTAAAGTCTCGCTACTAGTTAGGGACTAAAGGCTAGTTAGCTATATCGACGGTTGATAATATTATTAAGAATGTCGTCGATAGACAATTCTAGGTCGTTACCTAGAATTACAGGTTCTTCTTTAATAGGCCTAATAGTAGGCTCTCTAGTAGTAGGCTCTTTAGTAGGAGGCACTTTAGCAGGTGCTTTAGCAGGTACTATACTACTAGCGTTGTCGTTGCTAGCGCTACTAGCGGCAGCACGGTTATTGTTGCTTCGTAATAAACCGGCTATTGTAATAAGGGGTAATACTAATAATGTATTATAGGCCCCTATAGTACGGATATAGCGGAATTAGCGAGTATCGGTCTAGTGCAATTAACTTAGTATAATAGGCCGTATAGAAGGCCTTGCTTAATAATTAGTACGGTTGTTTCGATAGAATAGTACGTATAGGTCCCGTTCTTCGGGCGCAATATAGTTAGATTAGTTATTATAGCTATACCGCTAAAAGCTTGAAATAAGGACTATCTAGCTGCTACCCTTAAAGGGTAGATCGAATACTATATAAGAAGGGTATATTAGCAGGTAGATAGGGTAGTAGTAGGTACGAGTAGTATTCGATAAGGAGCTAGGAGGAGAGGGAGGAAGGTAGGCAAGTTAGCCTATTGCTAAGCGCTAAGCCCTGCCTAAGGCATTAAGACCCTAGCTTTACTCGAGCCCGGTTATATACTAATCACGTATAACCTCTTTAGTCCTAATACGAGTATACTACGTAATAGAAGGTAACGGTCCTTCGTAATAGTACGAAGAGTCCCTACCTTACCTTCCTTATCTTCTTCTAGTAGATTCTCGTTAATAAGCTAATCTAAGCATATCCTAGTAGAGTTAATATCGCTATTAAAGCCTTTCGGGTCGAAGAAACGGTCTATATAGCAATCTACCTATTAAGTAGTTATTCTACTGCCTTTAATCTCTTAATCGTACTAGATATAGTAATATAGTTAGTAATACTACTTCTAGAAGTAAGCCTAGGATATATTAGGGATATAGTTATTAATCTATAGTCACTAATATCGTAACTAGTTTAGAAGTCCGCTATTAGCGCGCTTCTAAGCGAGTAGATACTACTTAAAAATAAGGCTTTAAAGGCAATATAGAAGCTCGTTAAACCGCTCGTAATCGCCTTATAGCCGACTAAATAGGTAAAGTATATTATTCTTCGTAGAAGCCTTATTAGTATTATTATACTACTTTCTATCTACCTTTAGCGAATGTATAAGGGTACTAGAGAGTAAGAAGTTGCCCTTACTAGTACTAATATCGCTCTTAAAATCCGAGTAGTAGTCCTTAACTAGCGACGTAATAGTAATAGTCTATAATAGGTATTATTAGTATAGGTAGGTATAAACCTATAGAAATATATCTCGAATAGCCTATTATTTAGATACTAGGCTGTTAGGAATAGACTACTATAACTACTAGCCGCTAGGCTTACTATAACGACCCTAAGAAGCTATATAGCTAAGTACTCGTATATAGATAATACTATACTTGCTTTCTAGAAGTGCGTATACTATAGGCCTCTATTTAAGGTTGTTATCGCTTATAAGGACGCTAAATAGCTTCTAATCTAGTTAATTTACTTCGTATATATTGTCTAGTAGTATTAATTTGCCGTACTTTACTAGTAACTAAATACCTTCTTCTACCGCCTATATAAAGCCTACTCTAATACTATCCCTAGCCCTAATACTAGTAACTAAACTATTAGAAGTATAGGTTATACTCCTTTATAGTCCTTATAGTAGCCTATAGTTAAAGGTCCGTATTACCTCTCTCTTCTAGAGCTATAAAACGCTTACTACGGTTATAATAAGGCAATTGTTTAGCGGCGTTATATATAGTACTAATATCGAGATAAGAGATACTAAGATTGTTACTATATTGCCTTTAATACCTATAAGGCGTCGAATGTTCTTCTAGCTTATAGCGAGTAATGTATTTGCTTCTTAACCTTATATTTAATATATTAGTATACCTTCTAGCTATTAAGATAGTCGAGCGTATATATATATTTAGTTATAGACTTATAGTAGTATAGCGACGAATACTAACTCTTCTAGTAGCCTTATTGTTATAGTATTTAACCTTAGTAACAAAGCCTATTCTATACTCCTTCTTAAGCGGCCTAGATATACGCCTGTCCTTAATACCTACTGCTTCCTTATTTAGCTTATTGAGGCGCTACTTTTCTATATAATAGAAGTAGGACTTCTTATAGTATATAGTAGCCCGATACCGGCGATACGGGAAATAGCTAGCATTAGATACTCTAGACGAGGGCGCGGTCATGGTTGTCTAGTGAGCGGAACCAAGATACCATGTCGGAAGCATAGCCGATGAATGTCGTGGTGTAGTAGCGGTCGCGGAAGTCCTGGGGTATTTGTTGGTGGATTTGGAATTGTGTCGGAGGAGTGTAGTTTGCATCGATGAGAATGCAGGGTGTCGAGCTGGGTGCTGGTGTGGAAGTTGGTGGAAGGGTCGAGGTGGTGGTAGCATTGGAGTTGGGTATGCCGAACGTGTGATGGTACGCCTCGTCGTAGAGTTCTCGTGGAAGTGACTGGAGCAGCGGAGGCAAAGACATGTCTGCCTTGGTGGATACCGTATTTGAGTCGTGAAGCGGGATTGGAGGCCTGGTTGATGCTGCAGATCGGATAAGCTAGTGCTTGCGAAAGAATACAGGAGCAAAGTCTAGCCGGTAGAAAGGGCATGCTTGTGGAGATGAAGTTCATCGAGCAGCATGTGATAGCCTCACATGCGTTCGGTGATGAGATGAAATTCTCGCAGACATGCTTCAGACATTACGCGCGTGCCAGATCTTTTATACTCATTTGCGGAACATCTGCGCAAAGGGAACCTACTCAGATAGATCAGTGCCGAAGTCCATAGGCACAATGAACCGGGACCAGGCACAAACCATGCATCACCAGTTCAAGACGCATACGCCTCGACCCGCCTGCTCTTCTAGCTGCCTTCTCAGACCTGTGGGCTGCATCACCATTGCAGAATAGGCCACCGTATCTCGGACTTCGGGCGCGCTGACGGACATTACGAAACATGACAGATGCGAAGCATGCAGTCGCCTACAAAACACCCCGCGTTCAGACATATGTGCCAACTCGGCTTTGCAAAATGCCGCTGCTATCGGCTTTGTGTCCAGGGCGCCCGATGAACCTCGACGTGATCGAGATGCCTGGATCAGCGGCTTTCTCATGTCTGCGAACACTTCCGAGAGATGGCTTTATCAGAACGATCTCATCGGAATATGCAGTACTTACAGTACCTCTGCTGCGCTACGCCAGCGGTTGGAGCCGCATTTCTCCACCTTGCTGCATGCTGTTGACAGAATCTCGACCTTGAGCCTTCGCAGCTCTCAGCTTATTCTTCCAGAACACCAAGACTTCCACGTGCTGCAATTGCATGGCAAATTTCACTCGCCTCATTGCTTCGAGTTGCTGATGAGGTCATTTTAAGCTCGAGACCCTTGTGAGTACAGCCATCGCGTCGCGTCGCGTCGTGTCTGGTATCATCGATCGTCGCGATACACCATGGCGTCGTCCTCAACCCCATCCACTTCTGATTCCACTACGCGACGCCCTTCGTGGCAGCACAAGTATGTGCACGAAATGTCGCCCGAGGAGCGTCTGGCGTCATTGAAAGAATGGGCGGAGGAGAAGAAGATGGTGACGCCTGGAGAGGGTGGCACATTGGCGACAGGCATAGGTGGTAGCAATGCTCTTGCTACAAATCGCTACCCCGATAAGCGTACGTACGCCGATAGATAAGAAGGTTCGTTAAGGCGCCGCTAATATAGACGAGGATACCTATCTATAGCGCTCTAGAATACTATACGCCGACGTCGAGCACTCGGAGAAGAAGCAAAATCCGGTGAGGCGTTGGGTGGAGAAGCGGAAGGCGAAGAAAGATGCCAAGCGGAATGCGAGCGTGCCACCTTATGAGCCGTGAAGTGAGACACAATCGACAGAGCAAATCGGCATACGGAACGGAGGATGGCATGGTCGCGGTCGCCTCGGGCATGGGTTTAGAAGGGTTCGGTATTACTGAACCGCGCACTCCGGCATGCGATCAGTATTTGATGTCTTCAGCACGGGAGTTTGAGGCACCGGGGTGCAGGAGCTGCGGTGAGTTCTTACTCGGGGGATGGGTCCGTGCCGAGAGGAGCACTGTGAGGAGCTCGAGGGGTTGGCTGTCGCTATGGTGATGTGCGCGCCCAACGAGCATCTTATGCTCATCAGCTGGAGCGAAGTCATGTGGGATTGACCTAGGCAGCAGAGCCGCGTCGTATTCTAGTGGGAGCATGGAAAGGGCTCACAGCTCAGGTGACGCTGGTATCAATGCCCATACCCTCTCTCCATCCAGCCTTCTCCTTGAGCACTTTCTTCCTGTCCTCCCTCCATCTTTTGTCCCAGGCCTCCACCTTCCCACCGAGGACTTCAGTGCCAGCGTTCGTAAGCATGACGACGCCTCTAGAAACCACAAAGTCCTTGATGACCAGCTTGCTCCCAATAGCCAAGTCGATGCCGATTCCCTTGACATTCTCGAGCTCAAAAGCGTAGACCTTCGTTCCCTTGCAATCCTGCAATAGCAATTTATGCGGTCCACTTTGGGTGTTTGCGCCAGTAGTCGTCTGGTTCTCTTGATTCTCATCTTCAGTTTCCGCCACAACTCTGATGACCTCGTGACCCCTCTTCGTCTCCCCTCTCTCCTCCATCTCAATGGCCTCGACCTGGCTCCATCTGCTGCGTCCAATGTCCTCGACGTCCAGTACTTGGACAGGAACGGGGCCAGGGACTCTTTGCTCCTGGACTTCAGGGCTTGTTATGCCAGCTGAGAATGTGGAGTGCGGAGTCGACTGCACCGTGCTGCAGATATCGGTTTGAAGAAGGCGGTATTCGGCTGTCTTCTGATTTGCCATCAGAGGAGTTGTGAGGCGGAGGGTCGGGACGAAGTTCTGGAGCCATTGCTGTGTTGGTGGGATGTGCTTGGAGGCGAGGTGAGCTTGTATTGCCTGAAAAAGCTGATTGACGTCGCCCGAGGCGGTTGAGGGAGGCATTGTGATCACATCGTGGTAGTTTATGTGAAGCAAGAGAACGGGCCGAATATTGCGGTATTGATACGGATGGCTATCCATCAAATTCGCGAGTCAATCTTGATGAGTGATTCGTCAATATCAGGCCTAAAGCATGCCTAATCTAAACCTCTGCCTACAACAACACAATAGCCACTCAATCGCACGCATCTGTTCGATCAGATGCCAGCATGTCCACAATCGCATCCCCTCGGCCGTCAATAAGCATATCCTCCCGCCGAACGTCCATAGATACACTCGCATCCACAGCCTCCAAACCAGCTCCGGAAAGAGGCAGCCTGCGACGAAACCGAGCAGCATTACGAGACTACTACAACCTCGCGAAAGACACGCCAGACTCAGAGACTCTCCCTCCAACTCCCACACTTGATGCTGAGCACGTGTCCGAGCTAGACAAGCCGGGCTTCAAAGTAGACGACTATGTCCAACACCTGCTAGCCAACGAAGGCCTGGAAGGCGTATTAAGAGTAGAAGCCGGCCTCCTAAGCGACATCAGGAACCTCGATGGCGAGAAGAAAGCTTTGGTATACGACAATTACTCCAAGCTGATCGCGGCGACGGACACGATCCGGCATATGCGGGAGAAGATGGATCCGATGACGCCTACCACACATACATTAGCTCCTGCTATCGGGCATATTGCCGATACTGCAAAAGCCTTGACTGAAGACCTCCGAAAGGCACATGGTGGTGAGGCTGCTGCTTTGAAAAGCAAAGAAGCACAGAGGCGAAAGCAGCAGGAGAGTGTAAGGTGGCTCCTAAATGCACCGGAGAGGCTGGAGAAGATGGTTCGGAGCGGCGATGATGAGGCTGCGAAGAAAGAATGGGAGAAGGTCAAGACTGTGCTGGATATGCTTGATGGTGCTAAAGGTGTGAGTGTGGTGCGGGAAAAGTGCATGCATGCGTTAGGTCCAGATGCCGGATGAGGAATTATGTCATGAGTCTTCATCACGAACCAACTCGGATTCAACCTCACGCCAATGACTCTACAAGGGACGGAAAACGTGACGAGCCTGATGGGCTTCACCGAACCAATACCAGACTGCTTACGTGATGGGAACGGCTTCCAACTCTTCGCAGATTTGTGTCGATCGACGACGAAAGCATCATGGACGTCGAGATCGAAAATCGTGTAATCCCGTGGATATGCGAAGCAGGTATCGAGTTTCACTCTCACAAGGTCTCTGGCAGATTTCTCAATTGGTGACTCCACACTTTGGAATCACACTGGCCCTGCTGTGTAGGCCGTCGACCATACCAAATGCTTTCGCTGAACTTCACCCCAAATGCAGCTTGAAGCAGATTTCAATGCGTTCATCAACAACACCTTCTGCTGCCGAAGTGCTGTTCTCTGGATGGGCATAACGGTCCCTGCTCCCATCCTAGTCAAGCTAGCAGTACAGCTGCGCAACCAATGTCTCGTTCGTCCGTGGATGAGTGGACTTCCCGGCTTCTAAATCCGCCCATATACATCTCATGGTCCTGATCACGCGTCACAGCTCGTACGGGCCTCTACAAAAAGTATGCGCAGGCATATTCCTCAAACGCGATGGACTTTTCGTCGACCCACTAGCACAGATGCTGACATGTACCAGCATCAGCAAGATGCTAAAGACCGACAACAAATCTTCCAAGTCCTAGGGTGACCATGTGTAACTTCTACTGCACCCATCGATCGGCCTTGCAACGATAACATCACCAATAGTTCAATCCGTCCCATTTGAACAGCTATTCATTTCTTTTCGCATGAGAAATACTCTACAATCAACCAGAAGCACGGACTTTCTGCTGCGACCCGTCCAAGCAAAAGATCTACATCCACGGTTGCAACTATCATGCTCACGTGTCTCACCTATCAGAATGTTGTTTCATCTCCATACGAATCTATCACTCTCGGGATCTTACAGGTCAAAATATGAATCCCTAAATATCCTCTATCACAGCCTCTCGTTCTCCTACGCCATTCAGACCATTGAGCTGACAAACATGAAAGTTCAAGCTAAGCCTAGCGAAATGCACCGCAGCCAACCACTTCAGCCACATCTAGGCACGTGTGATGAGGACGACGTGCTCATGCTCGGCGCGGCTGGTATCTCGAATAAGGAGAACAGCGTAGAGACATGCTGAATCAAGGATTTCGATGCACATGCAGCGACAAAGCGCTCTTCAATGAAGAAAGGGCTACTATAGAAGCTACTTCTACCTACCTCTCTAAACTTAACCTTATCTAGAAGGAAATCGAACCTAGAGTATCTATATACGCGATATACTTCTATCTTATATCCTTAAAGCAAACAGTTACCTATATAAAAGAATTTCCTAACATCCTCCTCCTAATTTCTAAAACACATTCCTATTACTACCCTCCTTTAAAACAACATCCCAATCCTACTCTATTTCTATCGCTCTCGAACAGTTTCAAGCACTTCCTATTAAGCAGATATTCCGTTATCCCTTTATTACGAAATCTCCGCGCAAAAATTCCAACCTCTAGACCTCTATTATTAGCCAAGCACCATGGAGCGCGTTCGTGACTTCAAGACGTAATCTCGCTTTGTATTCGGAATACCAGTAAGCGTCGATGCGCGATGACCGACGCATTTGGTGCAGGTGCGTAGGACCATTGTGCTGGATGGCAGGGTACCGTGCGTTTGCTAGGGGCGAGATGCGAAGGATGACAGCAGTGTTGCGTCTGGATGGATCTTCGGATCGAGTGTGGATGGAGATGCGGGATTGATTGGCCGGTCGAGTTGAATGTGTCTGGTTTTATAGGCAATTCGGTGGCTTATTGTCGCGTGCACAGTTTCGCTTTTGTAAGCTCAGAGCCAAGAAATCACTTCCTCTTGTGACTTGGCCGTGTCAAGAAGTGTGAGCGCCAACACGAGGAATCCTTTTGCAGTCCCAGGAGATTCGTACTGCACAGTGGTTGGTCATGATGTTCCGCTGCGTGTAGCACTTCGCCGGGACAGCCAACTGGTCCTGGCCTCAAGCTTCAGCCTATCGCCTCCAGCAGAAGGGCCGCTCTGAAGCGCACGGCGAAAAAGCTCGGAGAACGTCGAGCCTAGGAGCTCAGATGGTGGCGCCGGCGGATAGAGCAGGAGTGTATTCTAGATAATCGGCAGACCTCGGTACCTCTCACTCCTCACTCGCGCCATCACTTTCCTCATTCTCCTCCGCATCATCTTCATCTTCATCCTCATCATCCACAGCATGTCCCGCATCAAAATTCGGCCCCGTATACCCAAACGGCAATCTCCCCTGCGCACCATGATACCCAGCAATATCCGTGATCCACACCAAACTCTTCCTCTTCTTCGCCTGCGCCACCATATTCGCCTCCTTACTCTCCACCAAACCCTGCTGCAACAAAATCTTCCTCGCAGCCTCAATCCAAACATCATGCCAGCCAATAGTCGAAGACAAGACATGCGCAGCTTGAGCCTTCGTCGGTGCGGGAGAATTGCATTTGAGACTCGTCGCCGCCCAAGCAGATTTCCAAGAATCCGAGTTCCTCGCCGCCGCCGCCGCCGCCGCCGTGCGTGGATCTAGAGAAGCGAAGAAGTTGACCATGGTTTTGCGGCGTTGCTTGTACGAGTCTTGACGGAGGAGTTTCCTGATGCCTTGGAGGTTGGCGAGCACGACGTACATTCTGACGTGAGAATCGGAGAGGACAGGGTTTCCGTAGACAAAGATTCTGCGCGCGCGGTGGGAAGCGGGGTCGCAGAGTCTTTTCATGATCCAGCATAAAATCATGAACATGCGATGCGTCTTGAGGAGATGTTTCGGGTTCTGATATGCGGGAGACGTTTCAAAGACATGCGCAAGGCTGAGGGCGTCGATGCTGGTTGCCTTTTGCTTGTTCTTCCCCTTCGACCCGGCACTGTCGGCAGACTTGAGACACTCGTCACGCAGCTGCTCGAGATAGTGCTGTATGGTGAGTAGTAGAGGGATCATCTTCTTCCGAACAAGGCCATATTCAGGTGGTAGATATGTCATTGGAACGGGCGGAAACCAGGGGTTCGCAGTGTCTGTCCAGAAATCAGGGTTCATCATGATGAAGTCGGCAATAAACCAGTGGAGCTCCCTTTCGAGCAGAAAGGCTAAGTCGGCACGGCGATGGAACTCGAGGAGATAGGTGAAGGTGAAAGGCTCTGGTGGCGGGTACAGTTGCATGTAGAGCTGCAGGTCTTCTTGGTGGAGATGTTGGCCGCGATGGTAGTGGTGGGCAAGCCTGGACATGTGTACGAAGAGCCGTTCTCGTGGCAAATGGCCATATGAGATCAGATCGGCCGCTTGGCGGGATGTGAGCCTGAAGGACAACAGGTCCACAAACGAGACCTGGTTGAAGATTTGGACCAAAAGCTCGGCGGGCAGCCTGAGGAGGGCGGCAGCCTGACTGCATGTGCGGGTGATGCCAGTCGTGCGTGGCGGACGTTGCGCATGCGTCTTGCCTCTTTGGTCGCGAGTCATCCCCTTCAATCGGTCCCATATCGAAGGCTTTCGCGGTGAGTCTCGGGGCGATTCTTTCGCAGCCATCACGATATTCAGCGTAAGCGCAAGCACAAGCCGCCAGCATTCTGCTCGGTCCACGTCCTCGTTGTATGATGAGAAGCGGAGGGGGGATGTGCCAGCGAACTCGGAGCCCCCCTTGCTGGGTCAGTCCCGCGCTCTTCCTCCCGTCTTCCCCGAACCCAATAGTGTAAACTCTCACGAGAATCCGCCAGACAAACAAGCGGATAACAAGCACCATATCTCAATACACATGTACCACTACCATAATACATACCCCCGACATCCATATCTCAATACACATGTACCACTACAACAATACATAGTTATACCCCCGACATCCATATCTCAATACACATGTACCACTACAACAATACTGTCTACATACCCCCGACATCCATATCTCAATACACATCTACCACTACAACAATACTGTCTACATACCCCCGACATCCATATCTCAATACACATCTACCACTACCACAATACATACCCTCGACATCTCAAACGCCACAAGCCACCCCAAGATTATCCCTCTTCGGGCCGACAAAATACCACCCCATCTCTGCACAATCTACATCATACTCGCCATGGATAGTCTTCACACATATACCGGCAACGTCGGACCTGCAAGATGCTCAGTAAGCCTTCCGGCCCGATGATGCGGAACAAGACTCACCGCACAATCACGCACCAGAGTACAAAGAATCGGCAAGCCAATCGTCCTGCTGTCGCTCCGGGCCTCGTCGGGATGTTCGCGTGCTGAAGCTCCTCGCCAGTTGGCCCGCTCTCGCGAACATGTGTCGCAGCTTCTCGCCGAATCGCCTGACGTAGAACTCCGTCTTGTTCATGCCATTCGCGTCGTAGGTGTTGGCCGTGCTCTGCGCCGTGCCCATCTGGTTCATGAAGCCGGCGCTGTATTCCGTGTTGCTGCCGCCCCCATCGAGCGACGGTGCACGAGCCTGGTCGTTGCCGTCCAGCCGGACCGCCTTGCCTTTGCCTTTGAAATGTGTCAGACGCTTGAGGTAAGACGCGCTGCGATCGCGCTCCGAGCTGTGATCCGAGAAAAACGAGCGGACTTCATCGAGCGCAAAGTGGGCGGGTGGCGTCAAACTGCTGGTGGGATACCGATCTCCCGGCCGGTGCGTGGCGTGGTCGGAGTGACGAGAGGTCTGGCGAGGGACGGGTGACTTGCTCAAACTCTTGGCCGTACTTTCTTCATCCGAACCACCATCTTTGCGGCCAGACGAGAGGCCGAATTTGTGCGTAAGAGAGCCAATGACCGATCGCTTGGACTGCTTGCGACGATGCGACGGACTGACTCCAGTAAGCTGCTCGGTGTTGATGGACGCATTGGAGTCGAGATGCGATGTTGTGATGGAGCCAATGTCTGCGCCTTGGGTGCTGCCCGGCGTCGCGGACGAAGCTGGAATGTCGAGAGATCTGGTTCGACGTTCGAGGAGCGCTTCTTTGGCAAGCGACTTCCTTGCATGCGCTGGGCACGGGACCGAGAGGTCGATTTCGATTTTGCTCTCGGCCCACGGATAATTCTTGTCCACATTCCACGGTCGGCTGCTCGGTTGCGATATGATCTGCGAGCGTTTGTTCGCCATGCGCGTGATGGGGTTCATCTCCGAGGGCAGTAGTCGGGCAACTTCCTCTTCGGTCGTGGGCGCCTTGGTGCGCATCAATGCTGACGATGGTCGTGCAACATCCTGGTCGAAGTCGAGTGGCATCGAGACCGAGCCACTCAAATATGACGATTTGCCGTCATATGACTTGGGGCTTGCAAATTTGTCGGCCGAAGTCGATCCTGGCAGCGGTGGGAGGTCTTTGTTGAGTCCCAGCGAGTCGTGAGTGCCGTTGATCACGATCTCTTCCGCTCGTTCGGCCAGTGTGCGGAAGCCCGCCGATGTGCGATTCGTCACGACTGTGTCCGGTCTGCCAACCATAGACTCACGATTGCCAGACCGAGCTTCCATGTGCTCCGGCAGGATCGAGTCAAGCCTGAGATTCTGGAGATTTCTCAATCCTGGGATGAGCTCAGAGAGACGCTCCGAAAGGGCACTAACAGACGGAATTGACAGTCGATTGGCTTGCGACGCGACGGAAAGGAAGTCTTCTGGTGACAGCGGCCGGTTGCCATCTTGCTCCACATCCGAATCGTCGAGCTGCGTATCTTCTTGGATTTCCACGGTCGGGACCAAAGCCTTGCTGTGCTCGGCTTCCGTCTCCGACCCCATCTCCGCTTCATCCTCGTCTTCGCTGACGGGATGCTCATCCGGAAGACTCATCTCATCTGGCTTGGCGAAGAAGCTTGTGTAGCGCTCGCGGAGAGGCTCGGTGCTGGTGGGCCGCTGTGGCGACGGACAGTGGATTCCAGAAAAGTCGCGGCGACGCATAATCTCCATCGACTTGGACGGCTTGATTTCGAGCGCTTCATTGAGCTTTTCGAAGAGATCTACGCGACTGAAGTTCAAAGAAGGCAGGTCTCGAGTGTCTCCGAGAGGTCTGTTGTGCTGCCGGGCCTGACGGCGGGCCTTAGCCTTGTCTGCTGTCTCTTGCATACGCCTCTCCTGCATTGCCTTGACCGCAGCGATGCGAGCTGGGAGTGGGAATTGGCAGCCGTCCGATGAGCGCTTGTGCTCTGAGATGCTCATGTCCTCGATCGATTCTTCCTTGAGACCTGGCAGATGTGCCGCGCCAAATCGACCGTTCATGTTGTTTGTGTGGCTGGGAGGCTGTGCTCGAGTATCGGCATTGGTGTCACGAAAGTCTCGGCCGACACTGTTGATGGACACATCCTCTCTGGGCGATGGCTTGCGCATGATCGATTTGGCCTTGCTGTGCGATGAATCAGTGGCTACCTTCAAGGGCTCTGGTCTCTTTGCGATATTGAGGGGTGCAATGTCGTCCGCGAAGGTAACCGAACTCCGTCGACTATTCTTCAGCCCTTGGGCTTCAGCAGCCTGATCTCCATTCGGGTTTGCTTTCGACTTATCTGGAGTGTTTCCTGGAGATACCTCGATGATCTGTGGCTTGCCAACCGTGATCGTAGTCTGTGGTAACGAGAAGCGAACAGCAACGTCAGTGATCATGTCGGAGCCAGTCATGGTGCTGTCGCCAACGGTGCTTAGATCGCCAGGCAGCGAGAACCGATTCGTGGAAGTACTGCCAGTATCCGTCACGGCGATGTTAGGTCGCAGCTGCACCGACTTCGAGTAGGTCTTCGGAGTACGTGGCGTGGGGGGTGGCATGGAATCATCTGCGATGAGAGAAGTAACGTTGCTCTGCTCCTCAGTGATGGTTGACTCGCGCTTCTCGTCGAGGTGCAGAGTGGAATCGATGCCACGAAACTCTGAATTCAGCGGGCTCACCGCAGAGCTGCGCTTTACGACCTCGTGAGGATTAAGTGGACTGACCGGCGTTCGTTCCAAGAGAATGCTCTCGCGAACGAGTTGCTCCGCTGGAGTCTTCTTGCCGTCATTGCTGCTTGCAGGCCTCTCCCCGGATTTGGAGGCGTCTTTCGAGGTCTGCTGCTGTTGCAACGTGATTGTATCTGCATCAAGCGCAAATGGATCCCTCGACTGTGTCTCATCTGAAGCGATCGTCGTGTCGATGGGTGCCGAGAACCGCATCGCGTAGTCCGCTCCAGTTGGGAGTGATGCTTCGACCGAACTTTCTGTGACTGCTCCGGAAACAGAATCTTGACGACGCTTGCTGCCGAGTCCTTGCTGTGACTGCCGAGAGGATTTGCGCGAGTGTGACTCAGTCGTGGGCTTCCGCTCATGAATTGGCGCTTCTGGCTTGTCGTCGTATCCATGCTCAACAAGTTGAGCCAAGACGTTAGCAGTCGATTCGTTTGGCTGAGCTTGCTCAAGCGTATTGTCGACGCTGGAAGGACCGAGCTCAGCCTGAATCATTTCTCTTGTGATGCGTGTCGTCTGGCCGTCCATAGCGTCTAGTTCGGCAACCTTGACAGGTGATGCGGGAAGTTCGACAGGCGCCTCGAACTCTTCAATGACAGTAAAGCGAGGGGTCTCATTAGCAGCCATCTCATGAACATCAAGTTCCGACACTTCCAAATGATCGTGGTCAACATCCAAGTGTTGACCGAAGTGCTGTTCATAGTGGTGATAGAGCTGCTGTTGAGAGGCCTGCTCGGCCTCTGCGTTGGCTGCAGCCTCAGCAGCCGCCTTTGACTCCAGCATCATCTTCACTCGCTGCACAAATCCTGACGGCGGGATCGATCTGTGTGGCAGGTCCATCTCTTGATCGTCCGCAGCTCGGTCCAGACCTTCAGCATACTCGAAGTATTTGGCGTTAGGCAGCACTGGATCACTGGGTGAGTCTGGCAGGTCGAGCAGCGCCGGGTCGATGAATGCTGGATCCACTACGACCCTGATCGTTGTGTGGTCTTTAGGCGTTGGTGGGTTCGAAGAATCTGGTGCTGAGCTCGAGGATGCAGGATCAGATGGTGGAGCGCCGCCATCCGTCATAGGCGTATCAGTACGATGAGGCATCGTACGTGCCATTCGAGCGGCGTTGTGGAACATCTGATGTGCTTTCGGGCCGATGTTCGAGGGAGGAGGTCCACGACGCACCTGCGGCGGTGGCTGTGGTGATGGGCCATATGGCAGATAGCCTGCTCGTGGCGGGTATGCAGGTCCGTACCCAGCGTGTTGCGGATAGGCATTCGGCGGTGGCTGCATCAGATACTGAGGAGCGTAGGGCTGCTGCGTAGGATGAGGCATTCCCATGTTTGGGCCCGCGCGCATTGGGCCTGGCGAGTGAGCATAATGATTTGGCGGATAGCCAGGGCCGGGCGAAGTGTTACCAGCATATGGTGGATGTTGCACATTCAGATGTTGACCGAAGTCTGCAGGATGGCCTGGACCATAGCCATTATAGGCAGCCACAGGTGGTGGGTGTGGTCCTGGTGGCTGTCTCGGCATTGGTGGCATTCCAGGATACTGTCCTTGAGCATATGTATCGCTAAGTGCTGGGGATGGAGAGCGAAAGCCAGGTCGCTTCAGTCTGGTGGGATAGACAAATGGAGGACGATTCTCTGGCATTGGCGGGACAGGACCTGGAGGCATGCGAGTGCTACCACGCGGCTCGTGGCCTTGGCTCTTCAAGCTTGCGGCTGATCGATGTCTCGGAAGCTGTCCTGCTTGAGGCGCAGAGGTCATCGAGTATGATCGGCTGTCTCTGGGGTTCGCATCTGGATTGCCGTTGGCCATCTGCAAGGACGGCCTCCCAGTGTGAAGAGGAGGCAAGGAGGGTGGCATGCTCTGCATGCTGGTGAGTGAGGCTCGTCGCTGCGTAGAGGAGGATTCCCATTGGGAGCTCACTCGCGACGTCTGAGATGGAGCATAATTGTGCCTCGATGGGTGATGCTGAGCTGACATGGACGGTCTAGAAGCATGGCCTCGTCGTGCTCGTGCAGCGGTGCCGGGAACGGCGGGTATGCGGGAGCTGTTGAATGAAAGAGCACCAATGTCGCCTGTATCCGTGGACGTCTTTAACATGCTGAGAACGCCGGCGTTGACTAGAGTATCGTTCGGGGGGCCGCTGGCAGGCGGAGAGCGGTGCTGAGAGCGGGAGGCTCCAGTGGCTCCAGAGACATTGCTGGCTCTGCTGTTGCGTCCAGAAACGGACGAGACTTGATCGGCGAAAGGCATTGTGCCGCCTTTCGAAAGCGTGTAAGTGAACGATGATGATGGGACGGACCAAGAGGCGCTATCCAAACGAGCATACGGCCAAGGCCTGACCAAATGAGAGGAATGGAGGGGCTGGACGATGGTGATGGTGATGAGTCGAGAAGCGGCTGTGCAGCAAGAAGACGGCGATGTTGCTGGAGACATGCGATCGATGTGAAGGAAGTCGAGGCTGTTTAGTCGTACCTGCGACGTGGTGGTGGTGGTGGTGATGGAGAGTAGGCTCGACGTGCGGAGCATGCGTAAAGAAGGTGAGGTGAAGCACGCAAGCCCGCAAGCACGAGGTCGGTATGTGCCTTCTTTCATGTGAACAGCCCACTTGCCCTGCCCTGCCCTGCCCTGCTCATCGCCGCCTTCCTTATTACTACTCTCCCAGCATATCATGTGGACACGCTCGCTTACGTGAAACATGTCAGCTTTCACCACTGCATACACTACACTGTCTGATATTCTGTTTTGCAGCATCTCTTTCTAGCTATTTCGAGCTTATATCATGCTCCGCCAACCAATGCACGCCAAGCACACCGCCGTCCTACCACTCGCTTCTTTTCCTTTTCCAGCATATCTCGTTGTTGCTGAAGGATCGCATACAGCAAACTGCCCATTATCGCCCGGTCTATTGCGCAGCTGGAGCTGGGGCCGTGTGACCCGCTGGCTGCTCCTCGGTGGTGCCAACGGGAGTGCTGTCGGTTGCAGGCTTGCCTTCTCCTGTGTGGCTCTCGGTCGCTGGGATGCTGTCATCCTCTGCCTTCTCCCAAGCAGCCGGCTTGACGTATTGTGGATCCTTCCCTGTTGCACTGTGTTAGCTAGCTTCCACCCAGTAAGTTGGTTAGACAGAAGCCACTTACATGGGCCATCATCGCTCAATTGACATCCGCCTGGGCAACTGCATGTGCCTCCAAACTCGACCGGCAGGTTCTCAGCCGGTACCTGTGCAAGCAGATCCTTTTGGTATGTGCTTCCCAGCACATGGATCTTTGCAACTGTGACCGGGTCCAAGAATCTCTTGATTACAGCGAAAACGCTGCTGAACCCCCAAGGTGTGTTGATGAGGTACAGCTTGCCCAATCTCTCCGGGTAGTAGTCTTGGCTGATAGCCGACGCGCGCTGCACGTATCCATACACCTGGTTTGCCTTCATCAATCCCACGCCCTTGAAGTCCATAATCGTGCAGCAAGTCTCGAGCAGGACGCCTGCTTTTCGCGACGCCGCTGGCAGACGTGGATCGGCGAGCTTCTCGTATTCGACAACAAGGTTCTGCAGCATGCGGTCGTCGGTGCTGATCTTGCGCATTGCCTCGAGATCGACGTTGCCGAATTGCTCGATGTACACGGGTCGGCCGTCCTTGTCGGTCTTGTGATAGTACTGTGGGTAGTAGGCCATCATCTGCTCTTTTTCGACGTACTTGAACGTTCGAACGAGATTGTCGACGCCGCCTCCAAATTCTGACCGCCATTTCTCGCTGTTGATGAACCTGAGACATTCTCGTTAGCTGTGTTGTGTCTCCTTCTTCGGAGCGGGAAGCTTTACATCTGCTTGGACAGCTCGACGTTGAACTTTCGTGCGCGAAGATACCGCAGCAGGGTCAGGGTGTCGAGTCTCTTGGTGTAGCCAGCTTGTTCCAACATCATGCGCAACTGCTGCACTTGAGCATCTTGCTCTTTCGTGGTGTGGCCGGGGTGGCCTGGTCGTGGATCAGGAGCGGTGGTTGGGAAGTCATAGTGGTCGTATTTGGGGTCGAGCTCCATGTGAGGATTCCCGTTCTCGGTCGCCATGCTGCTGGTATTGCTCTTCTCGCTGCCGTCCCAGATGTTTCTGGCGTTTCGTCGGTGTCTCGAAAAGGGGTCTGCTACCGCACAGCGTTCTTCTGAGGGAATCCGCCAAGCACTGTCTCGACAATGGTGGATTTTCGGTGCTGGGTGCAATCTCGTGCCTAGAACGTCGAAATGTGTTTCTAGGGGACTATTTTGGACGATGTGTCTGTTTGGCGGGGATGTGGGAGCTACGAGAAATCACAAAGGAGATGAGGTCAGAGCGGCCAATCTTGGCGCCTCGTGTCAAGGCCGAGCGCACACACTGGCTGCTGACAACAACATGTGCCTCGACAGTTGGCAGACGTCAACATGGTGGCAAGAGACCAGATCTGTGTAAGACGGTGTTGATACTGATCCAAGATACGGCATGGCATTCGCGGTGCCACAGCTATCCCGACAGTATGTCCATTCTAGTCCCCATGGGCCCAATACCCTGCATGTATTGGCCTAAGGCTGGCGGTCACGAGCCGAAGCGTGTAAAGAGTGGCAAGGTCTAGGAAATGGACGTCTTGCAAGTAGGACTAGACCTCCATGGGTCGAGATTCATCAACGACATTACAAAAGCTAGAAAAAGACAGCACACCGGCCAAGAGAATCTTCAACATAATACCAGCGGCCACCAAGAAAGCGGCGTGCTGTCTGAGGATGAAAAGAAAGCGTGCTGGATGATTCGAGCAAATTCCTCCATCTCGACACCGGTATTGCTCGACGGTAAATAGGAAACGGACGACCTATGATCCTACCTGCATCTTGTCCAAGAAAGCCACTCCTGCGCGCTCTACACCCTCCGGACTCCCTTCAACAAAACGCAAGATATCGAGATGGATGGCGTCGAAGTGCGCGTCACGTCCTGGCACGATCCCGAAGGCCAGGCGCTTCGCGCACGACAACTGGAAGAAACGCTTGCCAGCTGGCCCGACGAGCCGATCCCTGCTTCCTCGATGGAAGAATTTCCCATTGTCGTGATCCTTTCCAAAAGCGGGAGCTCAATCGCCTGCGGTGGGCTTCAGCCTCTTGGCGGTGGTGCTGCGGAAATCAAACGTGTCTACGTCGTGCCGCAGTATCGTGGCAGAGAGCAAGGTGTTGCGGATCTCCTGTTGCTTCAGCTAGAATGTAAAGCCTTGGAGCATGGACTGACGACGCTGAAGCTGGAGACGGGTGTGATGATGAAGAGAGCACGGGCATGGTATGAGAGGAACGGGTTCACCGAGATTCCATTGTTCGGGCCCTATGTCGGGGCGACATCTTCTGTGTGCTACGAGAAACGACTTGCTTTCGCTTCTGACCATACTGCGGAAAGGAATGATCGATGACGAGTGGCCGAAAGAGTCCATAAGTAAGGTTGCTTCACGCAAGCAGATCCGCGAACTTTTCCGTGTTCCCAGCCTTATTCAGCATCCCCCAGAAGGTACCTTTTCTGTGTGCGAGCTCTGCTAATACCCAAAACTCTGCGACCTGTGGCTCGCTCAAGACGAGAATCGGGAATTGGAAAGGAGAGATCTCGAAAGATTTCGAGGCGACGAGTCGCGGAGTGACGCTGCTGGCCTGAGCATTCCGAGGCCGGCATTACTTGTTGCAGAGCATGCAGAAGAACAGCATCATCGTATTTGTCGAAATGAAATCAGATTCGACCGTACCACTCACAACACTCACTTGGCGTAGTTTTACGCTGATCCAAATATGGACTAGCCCGAAGCCAGCATATCATCTACCGGACTGCAAGCCATAACTCCCTCAACAAGTTCAACATCTTGATCTTCATCCTCAGTTTTCGGCGCAGATCGTAGCAGTCTTACTATGCGTAAGAGTGATGGTCCATCTCTGTCTCAAAAGTGAATTCTCACGATGGGCTTGGATTTCAAGGAAAACACTCCGACTCATGACAAGCAAGGTATCAAGGAGAAACCTCTCAAACCTGAGACAATGCAGAGATAGCAACCATAGTAGGTCAACTGGCATCGTTATGCCGCTTCTCAATCTCCACAATTCCATGCCGTGTCCGTTCATCAGACCTCCGAATCGAGCGCAAAAATCCCACACAAGAACAATACCAAGAACAATACCAAGGCCCACACACAAAGCTCATCGCCAAACAAAGCCAACCAAATCCACACAGCAACACATAAAAATCCTCAATACCATGTTCTTCAATAATCTCCCTCTCCATCGCACAGGATCTGCCTCCTGACCAGACAGCATCATGGCGACCAGACAACACGATAGCGGCGCAATTTTCCGCAAACACTGGGGCAAAGACGACTACCTAAAGTCCAACGACTACAAAACCGTCACCGACGAAGAGCGTGCCAAACGACACCTCGACGCCCCAGAACTCAATGAAGCGTATATACACCTCACCCTTCCCAAAAGAAAACCTTCCCCTTACTAACATCCCAATCCCAGCTACTACGACATGATAACAGACCTCTACCAAAGAGGCTGGGGAAACAAATTCCACTTCTGCGGCTACCAACCGGGCGAATCCTGGGAAACCGCACAAGCGCGCCACGATCACTTCCTAGCACTAAAACTCGGCCTTCAACCGGACTGGAAAGTTTTAGACATGGGCTGCGGAATCGGAGGCCCAGCACGAGAAATCGCAGCATTCACAGGTTGCAATATAACAGGAATCAACATCTCCCCTCTGCACGTCGAACGCGGAAATCTCATGAACAAATCCTCCGGCCTAGAAACCCAAGTAAACCTCATCGAAGGAAACTTCATGTCCATGCCCTTCGCAGACAAAACCTTCGACGCAGCATACGGAATCGAAGCGATCTGTTGCGGACCAGATATGTTGAAAACATATCAAGAAGCGTTTCGAGTTTTGAAACCGGGAGGGGTTCTGGGGACGTATGAGTGGGTGATTACGCCGAAATATGACGATAAAAATGACGAGCATCGGAAGGCGAGGTATGAGATTGAGAGGGGTGGGAGTGTGCCGCATTTGAGACTTGCGGAGGAACATATGGCTGCGATGAAGGAGGCCGGGTTTGAGATTTTGTTTGATGAGGATCGGGCTTTGGCGAAGGCGAATCCTGTGCCGTGGTGGTGAGTTTGGAGTTTAGTGCGCGGTTGAGATTTTCTGAGACTGACTCTTGTTTTGCTTTTTGTAGGCATTCGCTTGCTGCTTTGCATGCTCCGACTTGGCGGGATTGGTGGCAGGCTTTTTGTTTGAGGCCTTCTTATTACCATTTCGCTTACGCAATCGTCAAGGTCTTCTGGAGGCTTGGGCTCACTCACCCTGCTAATATGGAGGCTCTTGATACTGTTGCTGAATGCACCTTTGGATGCAGAGATGGTGGGAGACTTGGCTGCTTCACGCCAATGCACATGATGATTGCGAAGAAGCCGCTCAAGGCTGTGGAGAAGACTCAGTAGACTGAGATTGCTACTGCTGTCTCGCACACTTGCATTTGCATAGTATTGAAAATTCGTACGATTTTGTAATCACTTCATGCATCCAAAGTGGCTGAGATTGGATGATCCTCGTATTGTCTGCACGAACGGTTCGAAGTTTGTTATTATGCTTTATATTGAAGTTATGCCACCATGATGCTTTCCGTTTTGTTCTTACATTATTTTTACATCGGGTATCAGTTGAGTGGAATCAGTCGGCTGCTGTTTCCAATTCTCTATACAAAACGCCGCAAATGCCTGAACGCTTAGCAAAACCCTGCTCAGCTGTAGTCATTACTCCAAATCCTTCTTGTGGTCGCGCTTTTCTTTCATCCGCAACGACATCTTCTTGCCGACTTCGTAACTTGAGATCATGATTGCGCAAGCAGGTGCGACCTTCAGCGTACGCGCGGCCCAACCTTTCATTAAGCCATTCCAGCCTTCGTGCTGGTAGATGTGCCACAGGAAGCGCGGCATGATCTTGCCTTCTGGCAATGCTTTTCTTTTTTCCAGCGACATGTTCGAGTTGATGACGGTCTGCTGTCTGGTCTTGCCAACGTCGAACGGTGTTGTGACAAATGCAGCAATAGCACCAGAACCGGCTCCAGCGATGAAAGAATCAGTGAGGAGTTCCCAGTGATTCAGCTGGTCGTTTTGGGGCCTTCCAACAATCTCTCCACTATGCAGGCGCATCTTGTCCAGTCGCTGTCGGCCATACTCGTATCCCCACCAATACATGGCAGAGAAAGGCACATCTCTCCACATCGTCAGACTGAGCCCGCGCCACAACGACTGAACTCCTTGTTGCGCAACCATATCCCTCATGCCGTCAATTGTAGATCGCATAATACCACGCCCGTGCTCTTTACCTGACGAAGCTTGCATTCGTGTTCGCAGCATCTCAATTGGACTCACGCCAAAACCAGCCAGAATTCGAGCAACAGTGCCAGCGACAAGTGGAGCGTAAGAATCGCTCACTTGACCGACCATAGGGCTCTTCGGACTCCACCTCAGCCAGTCGTATCCGGCAAAGTAGATAACATTGGCGGGGATAGACATGAGCAGAGTCGGACTGAGGCCTCGCCAAAGTGTCCATATGCCTTCATTTCTCGCAATCTTCCTCAAGCCATCGAAGGTAGAGTTGATAGTCTTGCGTTGTGTCTCTTCTGCAGCACAGTCAGAGACCACCTTGTCTAAATTCATGACTGCGGCTTCGGGCGGTGCAGCAACACAGAACTGTGATTGATTTTGGACCCAGAAGACTTCTCGACAACAGGCAGTGACACCGAGATTGGGAGGCAATTGTACAAAGGAGGGCAGTCGCACGGAGGGAGACGGACTTTGTTGGGCTTGTAATCGTACCCGAACGACATCCAGAGGTGTTACTGGAGATTGTCAGCAGCGTATAGCGATTCTGGAGATAGGGTACATACTGAGGAAGGATGTAAGAATGCTGCCTCCAACAGCACAGAGCATCTTCTCCACAACCGAGGTTTCTGGGTCTGCTGCCGTCCGGCCAGACGGCGGTGGAGGTGTGTATGACTGCGTAGTCTCGGCATCACTTCCAGACAGCATTCTATCGTGGCGCTGGCCTTGCGGCGATGTGTGTAATGAAGCCATCCCCTTATCAAAATCGATGCTCTGTTTCTAGCGCGCCGAGCAGCGCATCAGGCTCGTTTTCCTCGCCACCAGCCGAAAAGATTCCTTTGTTTCGTAGACTCGATCTGTGAGAAAGTGTCGTCATGCAAGATTTGCAGTGAGGATGTAGAAGTGTCGATATGCAGTCGTCAATTTTCGAAATGCTTTGGGAGTGTGAAGACTCGATGACAGAACCATCAACGTACAGAATCTAGATTTAGGTTCGCGATCGCATAATTCATTTGCCGGCAGCCGGCGCCGCGATCGGAGAGCCACATTTGGCTAAGCCTCATGTCGGAGCCGGACGCCGACGCCGAGAAGAGACACCGTCATTGTTCACTAGTGTTTATGTAGCTCGAAGAGCCACAAGTGAAGGACGAAGTGCTATAAGTAAAGGCCGAAGAGCTATAAGTAAAGGCTAAGGCGACGAGCGGGGTAGGGAGAGCTAGATTCTAGAAGATTCTACGGCGGCTATAGCCGTACCGCGCTAGGTAACAAGGCGGAAATCGTTATAAATCGCGCTTTATAAATCGCGCGCCTTTCTAATAATAACTTCTTCTACTTACTACTACTTACTACTACTACTACTACTACTACGACTCGTTACTACTCCCTTTCTATCTTTACTAAGCTAGATACTATACCTACCCCCTATACTAGCTCTATAGAAACCCTAAGCAAGATCTTAAGCGCTACTAGTAAGTTTAATATTATCGCTAAACCTTTATAACCGCGTCGCTAATAGTATTAGTCGCTTAAGTATTTAAGGGTAAGGAAGTTATCGATCTCGCCGATACGTCCTCTAACGAGTCTCCCCCTTACTCTACGAAGCGAGTTCTAGTTAAAAAGACTAGCTCTAAGAGGGTCGCGACTCTAGTAAGTCTCGTTTATAAATATATGTTACTAGATATACTAACCCTTAAAGCTCGTCGTAGGCGAAGTCTTTATACGTTTCGTTAGCGGCGTAGTACGCCGCCTAACCTTCTACTATACCGTCGTCCTCTAAGATAGCGCTAAGACTATCGAGTACTAGTAGCCGCTAGGCACCTCTACTATTAATATATAGTCGTACGCGACCCTCCTAGGATCTAATTTTACTCGGGACTTCGGGGCTAGCTCTCCTTTCGTCTAGATAGGACCTAGGAATCGATTTACTATAAGAATCTATATCGCCGCTACTCGGAAGAACGCGATAATCTAAGAATAGTATACTAATTAAGAAGTTAAAAGTTAGAAAAAGCGAGAGGAAATAAGATAAGATATACTATCTACGCTATAGGGCGCGGACCGATATATATACTCTACGGAGGTTAGTTAGCCCTCTATAAAAAATGAAATCTATAAAGTAACTTACAATCTTCTCGTTTCTATTTTTATCTCGTCTGCCTATATAATAGATATATACTAGGCCTACAATCTCGGTTAGCGAAGCTAGTAATGTTTAATCTCGCGTTTCTTAGTACGTTACCGCCGTTATTACTATTCGTATTATAGTCGGTTTAAAATATATACCTAATCTAGTTAAGTCCGTTCTACTACTGCGACGACTTCTATACGAGCTCGCTTACTGTCTATTTTCCGTATATAACCGCTTACAATCTCGCTAATACTCTCGTAATATATGTCTCGAATATACTACGTCGGAAACGTAGGAGAATTAGAATACAACAATTCCGCTAGAAACTCGAAGAGTTACTAGAGCTATACTTCGCTTATGCTTCTCCTAAGTTCTTCCGCTTTCTAAGACACTTCCGGGGTAAAGTCGTATTCCTACTAGTAGCTAGTATCCTTAGTAGAGATAGTCTCTTAATGTTCTAGGGTACCCTCTTCCTATTCGTACTCTATAGATAGAGGTCGAGTATTCGATTTCGAAGCCCGCCCGCTGTCTTCGAATTCTAGTAATACTACTCTCTTCCGGTTACAGTTTATATAGCTAGTATAGCTCCTAGGATCTCCTCTATAAGCGCAATTACTATATAGTAGCTTTAGCGCTAGGTTATAGGAATAACGGCACCCTTCGAAATAACTACGGTTAGATTCGTAAGTTCTATATTTCGAAGGAAAGGGACAGTTTAGTATAGCGTAACTTCTAGCGTCTACGCCGAGGATATAGACTAGCGCCGCTCGCCTCGCTCTCTTATCGGTACCCTTCTACGTTACGCCTTCTCTTAGTATACGTATATAGCCCTCTCGAAATACTAGATCTCGCCCTTTACCGCTTACGATTTTCTTTACTAGCGCGTAGTCCGTAGTTCTAGTTTCCTAAATTTCACCTTTTTAATATACTTCTACTACTACTTATACGAACTATTACGCGTAATCCTTTCCCACTTTAGGTACAATATTAAGGCTCGACATTGTATTAGCGCTAGGAATATAGTAGAGAACCCGAAGAGAAAGGAGGATAACTAAGAGAACTGCCGGGAACTTAGCTTATATAGATAGGGGATAGGCGGCTAAATAACAAGGTTCTCGGTGCCTCGGAGAAGTAGTAATACGCTAACCGTATTTAGGTAGCTAAACTCTATACCTAAAGAGAAAAAAATGCTAGTACAGATAGAGAAGTTTTATATATATATATTATAGAGAATAACTACTAATCGTAGCCTAAACGTCTTCTATATCGAAGTCGAGATCTGCGTCTTAAAGTATACTAAGGATCTTAGCTTTTTGTTTATATACGACAACCGGAGCCTTTGCCTTAGCAATGTCGCCTAGCCTTAGAGTACGAGGTAGCGTTAGAGCGTACACTATCGAGGTCGGAGTAGAGACTTAAGTGCGGGATATAGGCTTCGAGAGTAATATAGGTTGTCCGGGTAGTCGCTTCCTAGAGAACGAAGGACCTAGAATAGGCGTAGTGTCCTTAGAAATCTACTAGATTGTACGCGCCGTAGATACGGAACAAGGTGTCGGTATAGGTACTAGCGTAGGTAGTATCGATAAGGCCTTAGTTAGATCTGTCTATATAATCTCCTTCGAAGGTGTTATTTTAGCCGTAACTTGTATTATCTATTAGGCGTTACTAGGACCTAGGGCTAAGTTCTAGAGGTAGACTAAGGAGTCGTCTAGTTAGTATCTAGGAAGTTCTACGAATAACGGTCGGCGCGAAGTTTTCGCTAGTACTATAGTTAGCGTAGTTTCTCGCCGGCTTAGCTATCGTCCGACTCTAGTATCGACTAACGTCCTATCTTCGTCGTTACCTAGTACAAATGCCCTAGGACCCTTTTCTACCCTATACGGAAGGCTACTATCGCTACCTGCTTCGCGGTCTAGACCCGCAAAGTTTCGAGTATACTAGTTAGGCTCGTCTTCGGGTTCTATAGCGTCTCGAGTAGAACTAGTAGGCGGTTTAGCGATTTCGGGAACGTGCGCTTAAGGTATATAGTTAAGAGTACCCCGCGGGCGTCGCGGTTGCTACGCTAGTCCGGTAGAGCTAGTAGGTATAGCGTATATCGCTCCGCGTAATAGGACGTTAGAGGTTATACCTATAAATAGATTTCTACCCTTAAAAATGAAGTCGTAGAGACGCTTAGGTAGATATAATAGAGCCGAGCGAAACACCTTGTTTAGGGAGTCGCCGCCCTACGTAAAAGTATACTTTCCGTTAATAAGTACGCGGAGGTTATATACGTCCGTAACGCGTAAGAATGCTACGAAGAGTTAGCTATAGCTAAATACGGGCCGTCGAAGGTCGATGCCGATATATACTAGGGATTGACCCTAAGATTTGTTTATCGTTATTACGAAACAAGGTCGAAGCGGAAGTTAACATCGCTTAAGGGTAAACGGTAGGCCTTTATTCGAATGTATCTAGATTCGCGGTATCTAGTACACTTCCTAATTATCGTCGTCTAGCAGTTTCCGAACTTTAACCCCGAATTAGAGTGTTTTTACGACGACAACCCGCGTTCCGTTTACGAGTCCTACGGTCTTATAGATATTCCGTATAATTATTATTAGTATACCTACCCGGATCCGTAGGTAAGGAATCTAGAGCTCGGTATTCTAGATAGATTTTGAAAGGCTTAAGATTTCTAGAGGCTAGTCTTTATCGCTAGGCAACTTCTCTATCTTATCCTCGTAGCGATATTCGCGAATTGTACCGTATAGTAGGTCGTCTACGATACGTTCGTTAATCTCGTAGGCGGTATCGTTCGTTATATAAAGGATAGCTCGAGAACGATAGAATACTAGGTCGTACTTAGCCTTAATAACACCCTATCTTAGAAAGACGAAATCGATAAGCTCGCTAAGGTCCTAGACTCTTCCGACGTATATTAGTAGCTTAATAAATCGATCGAATACGTCGTCGTATACAATACAGAGGGTCTAGCGGTAGAAGTCGACGTTCCGCGGATTGCTATCTACGAGCCGTATATTTTACTAGAGATAGAGCACCTTAATCTTATTCTAGATTAGGAAGGCTTTAAATGTAATCGCTATTACGTCTACTTCCTTCGAAGACTTCTTATACTCGGGAAGCACTAGAAGAGTCTATACCTAGTCGCCGCCGAATATAATAGGGACTCCCGCGAAGAATAGTTCGTTGCCCTAGCCGTTACTACCTAATCGTAACTTGTAAAAGAGTCGATATATAGCTATAATATCGCGTCTATTCTATATCGCGGCTTCGTCCTAAATAACTAGATAAGTCTTTCGGATTAGCTTAGCGTCTATTATATCTTGCGTAATAGGATAGTCCTACTGCCCGGTATTGCTTAAAGGAAGTTTAAATCGGGAGTGCGCTATACGACTACTAGGAAGCAGCTATACGGCGATACCTAAAGACGCGATACATAGTACGATAAGGCTACGTGCTCTATAGGTCGCTACGAGTATACGGTATAGGAACGTCTTCCCGTAGCCTCCCGGACCTTAGATAAAAAAGTGCGCCGTTAACGGATTCTAGTCGATATCGTTCGTAATATCGGTAAAGGCTCGCCTTTAACCGTTATTAAGAAGGTAGGCGTTTTATTGTACGTAGAGTTTGTTCCCGTCTTCGTTTCCTATATCGACTAGTGCTTCTTCTTAAGCGATAGCGTTATTGCTGCTACGTATTTCCGCCTACGAAGGATCGGGACTCGGCAGTCTATAGCCCGATACCTTGTATCCGTTAGCAACTAATTCGGTATACAGCTACTACTTACTATAACTTTTAGTAGTAGCATTTATCTCCTTATACCTTCCTACGTAGCCTCCGCGCCGTAGTTCGATATATAGATCTTTATATATGTCCCTCTATAGAAGACTCTACTATCGCGTAGAGTCGGCTCCGGATATCGTATCCGTTAGGATAAGTAGTACGAACATAAGACGCAATTGTCGGGAGGTATATGTCTTCTCGGCCTCCCGGAACGTATCGAGCTATTTATCTTCCGATCTTATAAGACTAGATGCAATCGCCGCCGCTCGAAAGCTCTTATATACGGTGCCGCTATATATCCTTAAGTCGCGGAAATATTTAGTACCCCGAACGATATAGAGCAATTTAATTAAGTATAGTATCTTGCCTTTAGGACGTAGGGGCAGGTTAAGACGCGCGATAGAGTATACTACGCGCTTAGAACGTTTCTTCTACGCTTTGTTATATAGCGTATAGTGTTTTAGAAACTTAAGATACGTTAAGCGCCAGCAAGATACGTCGTTGTCTAGTAGCAACGCGTTATACCGAAACTACGCGACGAGCGTAGTACGTTATCGTCTATCGCCGCGTAGGTCCGCTATCGTCGCGTTATAGTTAAATACGATATTACCCCTAGGGCGCGGTAGGTAGACGTCTAGTCGAATAACCGCGGGCTATTCTTTATAGCGCTTACCTCCTAAGATGTTGTATATCGCTATCGTAGGACTAATATATTGTATATTAACGTAGTTAGCGATCTCGTTACTAGGAATCTCGAGGCGGGCAGTCGTACGGTCGGCGCCCTTATAGACGTACTTATTAATATATTTAATCGCCCGTAATAAGCGGACCTACTCGACGTTAATATAGGCGTTAAACCGCTTTAGTAGGTATAGATTGTACGGTACGATATAACGATTGTCGAAGAGGAACGCGCGATTCCTCCTCTTATTCTATATCCTCCCGTTACGGCGTCTGCGATATTTCGGAAACGCGATGTTAGTTACTACCGTCTCGTCCGAGAACTCTATAGGGAATCCCTTAGAATACGTCCCTTCGGAGTGTCGAGGTAACTATATATACGGGACGTATAGAAAGCCCGCGCTACAAGGTCTATAATATATATATTCCTTAACTAAGTTCGTTACGCTGCTATCCGGGTCCTCGGCTAGGCTCGGAAGCTTAGCGCGGATAAAGTTGTCGATCTTAGATATAGTATCTAGCGCTTAATAGGGCGCGATCTATAGCAAGAGGTAAAGGTAAGGGAGGCTACGCTTCTAGTATTCGACTGTCTAACATCTCGCGATATAGCGACTAAACACGTTCCTATAGTAGACCTCGTATAAAAACTCCCTAGCTTTCTAAATAAAGACCCTTATCGTAATGTCCGGGCGGTCTATCGCGTCCTAATAGTCGAACAAATAACGCTTAATCTCCGGCTAGTTAGGGTTAGCTATAAACGTAATAAAGTACGTAGGGACGCCGAAGTAGCCGACAATAGCTATAGAATCTCGGTAGCACTATAAAATCTACTAATCGCCGCCGACGTACGAGGACGGGAGAACTATTCGTAGAGCTTATAGGATACTATCGGATAATAGAGCCCCGTTCGTAGGGACGACTAAACGGTTCCGCTATAGCAAACCGTAACGTACGCTTCCCTCGCATTCCCCGTACTATACCTTAGTTCGAAGAATATCGTAACGTAGGTCTTCGCTAATCTATCGAGATAACTCTCGTTAGATATCGTATTTATTCTTATTGCCTAATAGTGCGCGCGTACTACGCTGTTTCGGTTGTTTTAAGTCGTACGTATCTGCCTATACTTCTTTCTAATAGTTGCCTAGGAAAAGTAGGTCGTTTAAGTCTACTACGGTATATGCGTCGACGTATAATTATTATAGGAGTCGGCGACCGTAGAAGATAGTAGGAAATTAGTTCAGTCGATAGTGCAAAATGTACCTAAAGTAATCCCTAAGCGTAACGTGCCTCCTGCTACGCGTACGAAACTAGTTCTCCTACGAAAACCTAGGAGTTCTAGCCGCCTAGAGGAGGACGTAATATATAGGGAAGTAGTATAGATAGTAGCGATTTATACGATATAGAGTAGTAGATACCTCTCCCGTACTTAACCGCTCTGCTACTACAAAATCCCTTATTCCGCTAATAGCTTCCGGATCGTAATCCGGATAGAGGGCGGCTACTTCGTTTACGACCGGCTTATTATATCGACGCGCGTCCTATATACCTTCGTAGACTAAACTAAGGTCTATAGCCTTAAGAACGAGGCGCCTAGGTCCTTAGGAGGATATAAACATTTCCCGAGCCGCGACGAACTTGTAATATAGCGCGTTATATTACGTAATTATCTTATATAACGCGATTATAGTGCCGTAGTCTAGCTATAGCGATAGTATAGATTTCTAGTTCCGGCTAGTATATCTACGATCGCCGGATTTCTATATATGCCTCTTAGTAGTATATATAGGGTCGTAAAAGTATAGCTACGCGTATTAGGGATCTTCCGTCGGAGCGAAGAGACCGCCGCCTAAATAATACGCTTCCCTATAGATCTAGAACGAACTATACCCTAACACCCGTATATTACGCTTAGCTATAAACGAAGTTATTGCGAGGCGGCAATTATAGGCTCGAATGTTCTCCTAGAACGTTCTTACTTCTATATCCTTAGATAGATCTATAGTAAGTAGTCGCCGTAGCAACGGAGGTAGTTTAGGGATCGGAAACATACCTTTTACCGCGCTGCTACCGCAACATATTATAAATACTATACCGTTCTTGTCCGTAGAAGAAGACGGTTTACTATCTACTCGGACGTTCGATGCTTTACGGATCTAATACTTAGCTTAATAGTATTAGTAGGTATATACTATATCGCTAATATTAAGTATTACTGCCTCGTATAGTATCGAGATATGCGCCTTAGGAAGAGTAGACCTCTCCGGGCGTAAGAGGTCGGCGTTAGTAGCCTACGATCGACCTAGGCTACGGTACGCCTCGGCGACCGCTATAGGGAGGGTATTATAATCGTTTAGACGTTTAAAAGATATCCGCCCTAGAGAAGGCTAACTAGCTCGCACCTAAGGACTAGAACCGCTAGCTCTAGCCCTACTAGTAGGGATAGTAGTAGTGTCCGTCGGTATTGCTCTAGGGGTAAAAGGAAGGCTCGGTAGAAGTAGCGGTTAGATAGGCCCTAGCGACGGAGCTCTAGGCGCGATAGAGCTACTATTCTTAATTAAACTCGTAGAGTTAGCGTTATAGGAAGGCTCCGTGAATTCAATGTCTATCGGTCTAGAAGGATCGAGAAGGTCGCCGAAGTCGTAGTAATTATCGAAAGCGTCTAGACCGTATTTATTAGGAACCTCTATATCCGGTAGCGTCGGACCTTGCCTCTTAGCGTCCTATATAACGGTGTCTCTAGGCAAGACAGACTAATCGTCCTAGTTATAGTCGCGACCTATCGGACTTAGTAGAGTATAGATACTAGAAGCGCCGCTTGCTAATATAGATATAGAATCGGACCTGCGACTAACGCTCGGAATTGTAACGGTAGGTAAACTCTACGCCGAATGCGACAAAGGAGATAGTATTAGACGTAACGGGTCGATAGTATATAACTCGTACGTAGGCGGAGTATAGGGACGCTTAGTAGATAAAGATATAAGAAAGGGGAAACGATCGGATAGCGTTTTAGATAAAACACCTTGCGTATATAGCGATAATACGCTAGGGAGGTCGCGCGTCGTCCCTAACGCCTCTAACGTATCGTTAACGACAGGACTTGCTCGACGTAACCTAGGTAATAGTCCGGTAGATGCGTCGTCGTATACTAACTATAGATATATAGTAGTAGAATCGTAGTTGCTACGGGTAGAAAGTTAGGCTTTCTATTAAAGTTAGGGAATGTTATCGCTCGAATACTAACCTACGCGCTAATATACTACTAGAGTATAGACCCTATAGAATCGTCCGTTCTTCCTCTAGAAGTTAGACACTAGTTTAACGATCTAACAGAATTTGTATTAACGTAGTTCGACTACTAGTCTAGGAGCGGGACCGGTAACGGGAATACGGTTATACGGAAACGATAGCCTAGCGGAAGATTGGGAGATACCCGCTCTATACTTCGTCTCTTTATCTCTATACGATATCGTTTAGAACGGATTATCGTCTTATACGACGTTTATCCCCGTCGACATTTTAACTAGTAATAGGGAACTAGATCTCCGCTTCGGCTTCGGCTATCGTCGCGAACGCCGTAACTTAGATAGACTATCGTCCGATATTAGGTTAATCGTAAAGTCGGGCGGTACAAAAGAGCTAGGTATCGCTCGCTTCTTGCCTTTCTTCGCGCTCTCTATATCTAGTAGCGTAAGTATCGGGCGCTTAGATCTAGAAGAAAATAGAGTAGATAGAGAAGACATTTTACGTAAGGAAGAGCTAAGCGAGTACGCCGTACTATAGAGTTCGAAGAATCGCGGCCTTTCGTACGAAAAGCGAGGTAATTACGACGTACTATTAGTAGACCGACGATATCGAGGCGTTCTTATATACTACCTCTCGGAGATAGGGACAATTCTAAGAGCGAGCCGTTGTTTTCTCGTAGAGATCGTCGATAATATAAGCGTTAAGGTACGCCTCGGAAATTAGGATCCTAGAGCGGTATAAGGTATACGAATTGTAAAGAGTCGATATTAGGGATCTCGGTTAGGAGGGACCGCGGTTATTAGCCTACCTACCTCTAATGCTTACTAGTCCTAAGTTATTTATAGATAGAATAGCTAGATGTTCGATATTACGAAAGAAGTCTAAGATCTAGGGAGGACGAATCGCGAAGAATCGATAGCGGAGACCCTAGTTAGGAGGGCCTATACGATTAGTGCTTGCTTACGAATCGTAATAATTCGGAAATTAATACTAGGAAGTTCCTTTAACAGAGCTAGTTAGATTATTAGAATCCGTAGATTAGAAGATTCCTAGATCCTAAGGTAGTATTAGCGGAGTATATAGATTAAATAAAGGTTACCCGGAATGCTACTCCTATACGAGCCCTCGAGATCTAGTTTAGACAAATTATCCCTAACTAGTTAATTAAATCTAGGGTATATAGTTTGCGAGAGTAGTAGGATACTCGCCGGCCGAGATTACGGAGGAGGACTAAGTACGAATAGTAGGTTCGTATAGAGTAGTTCGTATAGAGGGGAGAGAGAGAGCGAGAGTACTCGGTAGATAGGCGCCTCTTTAACCGATCCTAAGAAAGCTCTACGTTTACCGGCGTAATCTAATCTTACGTAGTATCGATCTCGCAATTTCTCGACGCGGAAAGGCTATAGGCACCCTATAGAGCGCCTAAAGTTAGGAGACTAGTAGGATAGCTACTAGATTCCTTAGGCGTTAAGTAGATTGCTCTATACGGGTCCTACCGGGAGTACTATCCTCTAGTCGCCGATTATTAAAGAGAGATGCGTATATAGCTAGGGGCTATTTAGAAAACTAGATCCTACTAGAGCTAGTAGTGTTAGTAACAGCCGATTAGAGGTATTAGGCGAGGACGCCTATAACTCGCCTTTAAGCGTCTAAGACATTAGCTCGCTAAACGATAGTCCGGTATATCTAGAGACAGTGTTGTAGGCGGCGGATATAGAGGATTTTAATATAGAAGAAGGTAAAGAAGCTATAACGGTACCTGCTACGCCTAAAGGAAGGTAGATCGCGGTTAAACATATAGACTAAGCGCCGGTTAAGACTATATATTCTAGGAGGGCAATTTCGGTATTAAAGGCCTAGATTAGCGATATAGCACGTGTGCGCTAGCTCGGATAGTATGTTCTTCGGCTTGATTTCCCGTACTCGGCGCTCTTAAAGAGCGATATTCGTTCGGGTAGTATCGCGCAATTCTAAAGACCTTCATTTCGAAACCCCCTAGTCCTAAGTATATCTCGAAGTAATATACGCGCCGCGTATACGTAGCTGCCTATTTGTTTGTATACGTAACGCGATCTAGAAGTAATATATTAACGCGATTGTTAATACGAACTTAGAGCGCGATACGGATATTAACCGTTATTCTATCGACCGCCGCCCTTCTATATACTTCGCGTAGTCTAGTACGACTATTTCCCCCTCGATTTCCTTCGCCGACACTATTATATTAGCGATTAGAACGCGCGCGATAGCGGACTAGGAGAACGTCGATTTTATAGCTATTTAGTAGTAGAAGCTAAACTTCGCCGCTAAGTCGCTTTATAACGAGAATAACGGCGTTAAGCCGGAGACTAGCCCTATCTTCGATCGCCTAAGGGAGAACCGTAGAATAGGCCGGCAACCGGATATAGCGTACCGCGATAACCGCTACTACGATATATATGCTAACGAGATCGTAATAGCGGTTAATAGAAGGATAAACGCGAAACTAGATACTAAGTTTATAAGTGTTAGCGCCGCGTATAGACGTCGAAACTAGAGCTAATAGTAACTAGACGTACTAGTACGAAATAGTAGACGGCGGCGCAGTCGAGCTTACCTTTTAGCCGAAGAACGATAGCTCTCCCTACCCCTTCGATCGTTACGACTTCTTAGAGGCGGATAGTAAGATTCCGGCCCTAAAGAGATTCGTAAGTTAGCCCGTCGGGAAGGATTGCCTATTTTTGATCTCGTACTAACCTCTATAGGCTCGGATAGGTATATTAGGGCGAGCTCCGTTTCCGGACTATCGCCGTAGAAGACTACCCCCTCGCCGAATACCCTCTCCCGCTTCTCGTATACCCTATCCTCGACCCGCGGTCGCCTTCCTTCGAATTAGTAGGTAAGGTATAGCTATTCTATACCTTCGACCCGAGGTAGCTAAGCTATATCTCGACTAGCGGACCCGGCACTAATCTAACCCTGCCTAGTAAATAGGCCCGCCTATTCTATTTTCTAGTAGAAGGTACTCGAGGCCTCTAATATAATATTGCGTTCCGCTCCGTACAAGATAGGGAGAACAAGTATCGGCCCTAGATATTAGAGAAGGCGTAGAATAAGGCTAGCTTTAGATATACGGACTAGCAACCTAAGATATTATAGAAGTAGGGAGTTAGCGACGCATACCTAAAAGCTATTAACGAGCTAGAGTTTAGAGGTAATTAACGGCCGTATCTAAAGATATCGCGATTCCGGTAGTACCTAAATCGGTAGAAATAAAATAAAAATAGTCCTACCCTTACCGTCGCCTATGTCTAACTATATGTTTTACTCTCCTCTCCTATACTCGCTACCGCTACGAAAGTTATACCGACCGCGTACGCCGCTAATCCTCTATTTACTCCCTACTCTTTCGGCGTCGCGAAATACTAGTAAGACGTATCGATCCGCGCTATCCTAACGGCGAAAAGGGAGTCCCTCTCCTAAACCTCGTCCGCTCCTTACGTCGTCTCCGCCGGTCCTCTATTTACTACCTACGCTTTCGTCGTTGCGAAATGCTAGTAAGACGTATCGATCCGCGCTATCCTAACGGCGAAAAGGGAGTCCCTCTCCTAAACCTCGCCCGCTCCTCGCGTCGTCTCCGCTAATCCTCTATTTACTCTCTTCCGATACTATACGTACTCCTATAGCGAAGAAAGGCGAGGTCGGATAGGAGCGGCTTTACAATACGTAACCGGAGCTAAGCGAGCGGGGACGCTTATAGCCGCTACGTAAATAGAGACCTCTAGCTAATTAGGTAGTCCTAAAGGTTATACCCTCGCTAGTTATTTAAAGCTAGCCCTAGTTAGCGAGATACCGAACTATATTCGCTCGAATATATTAGCCGACCGCACCTTTAAGGGTATAGTAAAATTAGTGTAAGGCGATCTACGATCTGCTAGATCGTCCGGATAGGGGGTTTAATTCCCTTATTAGCTATATCTTTTTTTTTTTAATCTATACAATTATCTATATTCTATAACCCTCTAGCTAATGAGATCGGTTCTAGATAGTAAGAGTTATTCGCTCGTAGTCCTTATAGAGACACGGGGTAGCGACTAGCGAGGGTATAACTTTTAGTATTAGAGGTTCGAATCCTCTATTAGCTATCCTTTTACGCTCGCGTAAGGCGGCCGGCTATAGCCGCGAATTCTAGAGTTCCTATATATAATTTTCCCCGTATCCGGGAGCTACCGCGTTAAGCGGGAGCGCCCGCGTGTTTTAGGGATACTAGAACTTTATATATATAAAAAAAAACCCCTAGCCTTCTAAGGTACGTGCTTTCTTATCTATACTAAGACGAGATAGAGACTAAAACTAAACGTGTCGGTCTATCTAGGGCCTCTAACTTGTCCGGTACCGCTGTCTATTTAGAGAGCGTATTGTCGTTACGCGTAGCAAGAACGAGATATAGCTTTAAATGTACCCTACGCGCCGCTACGCTATCGAAGACGTCGCGTAAGGGCAAATTACGGCCTAGAGACGACAATAAGTACGGAAAGTTTATAGACTAAAGGAGATAGATTGCTCTACCTACGATACCGTACTTAGGCTCCTCCGCCTTCTTTCTAAGTTACGATAGCGTCTGTCTCTAGAGCGCGAGCACTATGCTTATAGCAGTCCTAAGGAAACGTACTACTCTCCTGTTCCTATATATATCTCTAGACGATAAAACTCTCTATTCCTACGCCCTATATCGAGGATTACTATCGCGTCGTCTATATCGATTTAAGTATAACCGAAATTAGCCGCATTCTATACTAATTATAGCCTCCTTTTTATATCGAAGTCCCTTCCCGCCTCTACGTCGAAGAAGTCGTAGTATTTAATATAGCTATCGTTTCGCGGGAAGTCGAAGGGTTAGTTATATTATAGTAAAGCATCGATAGCGCTAGGAAGACAGATTTCCTCTAACAACCGTAGGTCGTACCTAACTAGGACCCTCTATACGAAGGTACTATCCGTTCGGCTCGTTATAGTAGGATACGCGTATAGAGGAACGACGACGAAGCGATCTATACCGAACGGCTATATAGTAGCAAGCTTTATCTGCGCGAATTCGATCTAGAACCGGTTAGTAAAAGCGCTATATTCTTAGGGTGCGCGACGGATATACCTAGCGACAATGCCGAGGAAACAGCGAGTTAGACTTTTAGAGGTATAGTCTCGGCTCGAACTCGTCGAGTTCGTCGAGCCTATTAGCATTCGTATATAGATTAACGTAGACGATAGACCCTTCTATTTGCTCTTCCCGTTACACCTAAGTAGTAATAACGTTAAGGTTACCGTCTAGGTACTTATCTTACGACTACTTAGATATAGAGATCTATAGGAGTTAGCTTTCTACTACTATATACTAGACGATATACGAGAATATATACTATACATTCTTCGTCCCGAAACTCCGTCCGCTAGTAGATCTTATTTATAACTAGAGATACTAATCTCGATATATGCCTAGACGGCCGGTAATCTATAACGCCGTAGTGCGGAGGTTTAGGAGAGAAGCCGTTATTCTTATCTATATTACGGTTCTCGCGTACGCGGCGTAATACCTCCTTAGTAACTAGCTTATATATATCTTATAGCGCTTCTTAATACACCGGGGCCCGGCCTATAGCGAGCAGTTAGCGAAGTCGTATAGAAGCGCGGAAGTACTTAATCTCGGCTATAGCGCGATTCAATTCCTAATATTAAAAGGCTCGCTACGGTATACTACGTAGAACGTCTATCTCTATAGCTCGATATTAGCGAAAGTAGCGTATAGCGACTAATACGCTAGAGACTTACTATTAGGGAGGGCTATAGCAGCTAAGACCGTATAGGAGGGGCGCCTTTATCGAGGTCGCTACTAGTAATATCGACAACTAGAAGGAGGTAGATATAGCTACGTAGAAGTAGTTACTATATTAGTTATTATAGTAGTAATATTTAGACGACGCGCAACGCCGTAACATTACTATTTGTATACGTAACCGTCGCCGCGCGCTAAGCCTATACTAGCTAATAGATGTAAAGCGACGATATAAAGCGACGATATAAAGCGACGATATAAAGCGACCCGCGATAATAATAACGGCCTCTCGCGACACGACGACGAACACTCGACCTTACGCTTACTACTCTAGCTTAGATCCTACTACTATAACGTCGGTATCGTCGCTAGGGAGGTATTAATACAAACGAAGTCGTTAAGGACTTAAGTTAAGGCGAAGGAGCGCGTCGTCTACCTCTAGCGGTATAATCCGGTAAGATATATCTTCTAGAGCTATAAATTTATATCGTATCGAGGGATATAAAAAGATGTCCGTTAAGCAGATAGCACGCTAAAAATTACAACAAATGCACTAAGATTATCGTAGATTTCCTTCCGCAACCTCCCTAAATACTATATTCTCCCTTACGCTCGGTACGACGATTGCCTACGCCTTAGTTTATTATAACGCTCGACTCGCTACGACACTCCTCTAGCGGGGCGAGACCGAATAATAATAATAAAGGCTTTCGCCGGACGGGAGCGCCGTATATAGTTAAGAGACAACTCTGTATCGCTACCTAGTCGAAGCCTATACCGTTACGGAGGAGCCGGAAATAGTCTAAGAAGTAGGTTATCTTAGCGTACTTATCGCTAAATAGGGCCGGGAGCTATACCGTCCGTTCCTAATCGCGAGTAGCACTCTCCGAGAGTAAGGCGACGCTAATGCTATAGCCGGATATTATATCGAATTAATACTAGATCTCGAGGACCTTTATAGCCGCCTTATCGGCGACGTCGTTATAGAAAAGGCTAGTAGCGATATAAAACACCTTAAGAGGCTTCGCGATAGTCGATCCTTCTACTAGCTACGATTCGAATATCTACCTAAGGTTTAGCTTCCGAGGGACGATACTAAACGAAGGAAATAAGCCGAACCGCCGTAGATCGAGAATCCTCTATAGCGGGCTAAGTAGTAGCGAGTCTTACTATATCTTCGTAAAGAAAACTACCGACTCTTACGGTAATTCCTACCGAGTACTATAAACCTCCTCGTACTAGAATTATTAGCCGCTATATCGGGGTATAACCGCTATCGTACTACTTACTATAGCTTTCTATACCTCGGACCCTTTAAGACCTTAATCTTAAGCGTACGTCTTCGCGAGTATTACGGTAGGCCTCGAGAGACTACGATAGGTAGTTAGTAGCGGGCCCTCGTTAGATCTATGCCGGTACGACGCGAATAAGTACCTAGCGGCTAGGGAAGTTAGATCGAGGTCGGTTCTAGTAGAGTTTATAATAGTCGATCGCGATATTAGGTTATTATAGTAGCAATTAATAACCGCGCGCCTACTAAAGTCGTTATATCTCCGGACGTAGGCGCGTTATATACGGCTACTATAGTCGTATACGCGACGCGCGCCTTCCTTAGGACTCGCGAGCGAAGGATACTACAATTTCGTATAGCTTCTCGAAGGCCGTAGAGGTCGATAGAGCTACGATAGCGACTAAGAGGGTCGATAGTGTCGCATTTATAAGACCCCGATAGCGGAGCTCGCGATAGTAGGGCCTCGGTACCGGTTGTACGTACTAAATTACGCTTCCCGTAGGGCTACTAGCGCGATCGAGTATACCGCTTCGAGCAAATACCGCCGGATAAGGTATATACGACGAAGACGCCCTTTTCGAGACTGCTATCGAAGTTATAGCTCGTCGCGGTATACACTGCGACGTCTGCGCCCTTCCGAATCGCTAAGGTATTAACGTTCCTCGCGTCCACCAATTAGAGGCCGCCGTTTGCCCGTTTTGAGCCGCACTAAGCCTAAAGGGGCCCCAACTTTTGTTGAGTTGTCATATTATTGATAAACAAACCGACTATCATCATCGCCCATTCTCCCTATCAGATCTCGTTCACGATGAGTGTAGACGACAGAACTCCAAGCATGACTGCCCCTGAGAACGAGGCCGAGCTGGAGGCATTCCGACAGAAGTGGCGAGAAGAGGTCTCGACTAGGAACAAGACAGCAGGAGGAACGTCCAAGAAAGCTCGCGAGCACGATACCACGACAACGCTGCCGTATCCTGTACAGAACGCGGCTGGCTCATCAACTGCGCGTCGGAAAGACGATTTTAATGAGGAAGTCGCGCCCAAAGCATATCACGACCTGCCAGATAAAGAAGAGCAGTTGAAGCTTGGTATAGCAGGGCAAGATCACGATAGAGATGCCTACAGGGAACCAAGTTCGGCTCTCGAGCATTATGAAAAAGCAGTAGAAAAGGAAACACAAGGGCAGCTTGGTGAAAGCCTGAGACACTATCGCAAAGCGTTCAAAGTGCGTCTGATACCCCTGCCTTGTGTGTGAGATACTGTATGCTGAGGTAGGTGATAGCTCGATGACGGCGTTCATGAGTCCTACAAGCGCAAATACTTTCCTCCTTCTGTCTTCAAGAAGTCCAAAGCAACGAACACGAATGCATCCGCCACACTGCCCCGGACCGACCATCACTCCCTACGCTCGGGCGAGGAGGCACTACCGGCAACCGTGAAACAGCTTGTCGATGAGTTTTCGCAGCTCAGCATTAAACCTCCTGAGCCGCCCACTGACCTGTCTCCGCCTGAGAAATGCCCTATTGCTGAACTGCCTGAGGAGATCTTGACCCATGTGCTTTCTGAGCTGGCCATCACAGATGTCGCTCAATTCATGAAGCTTGCCTTAGTGTGCAAGCGTCTAGCTTACCTTGTGCTTACGGAGCAGTCTATCTGGAAGCGTGTCGCCATGGATTCACCGTATGGCTTCCCCGCGATGCACTATGACTATGCTGTAGACGTGGATGGCTTCCCACTCGATGCGAATCACCAAATCGCACACTATCTGGGCGAGAAGGACGAAGAAGATCCAGAGAGCGCATCCGCCTTGCCACCGACCCCAGAGGAGAAGGCAATTGCCTACGCTGCTTTGACGGAAGAGCTTCTCCACAGCCAGTATCAGTCATCTTGGCGTGTCATGTTCCGCTCACGACCTCGAATCCGCTTCAACGGCTGCTACATCAGCACAGTCAACTACACTCGAGCAGGAGCGAACAGCACCAATACCTTAACTTGGGGTGCTCCCGTCCACGTAGTCACCTACTTCCGCTACCTACGCTTCTTCCGCGACGGATCCTGCATTTCCCTCCTCACCACCTCCGAGCCGGCAGATGTCGTCCACTACCTGACTCGCGAACATATACACGACCGTCACCCTCAAGGCTCCATGCTCCCACAAGCCGTCATGCGCGATGCTCTACGCGGACGATGGAGACTGTCAGGACCACACTCTTCAGTCCCAGATGCCGTCACCGGCGAAGATGAGGCGGAAGGTGATGTCTATGTGGAAACGGAAGGCGTTGTACCAAAATACAACTACAAGATGCATCTCGCACTGGCAAACGCTGGCAAGGGAGCTAGAAACAATAAGCTTGCGTGGAAAGGCTTCTGGAGCCACAATAAGCTGACTGACGATTGGGGTGCTTTCACGCTCAGAAATGACAAGGCTTTTTATTGGAGTCGCGTCAAGAGTTATGGATTGGGGGATTAGAATATAGATCGCAAGCGCATCAAGTGAATTAGCTGCCAGCTCATCTCAACAGAATGCGTCAACGCTCGTTTCGAAGCACGACCAGAGCAGGCCTAGCCGTGTGTTTTCACCTTGGCTCCATCAAGTACAATTCTGGAACTGCGGTGAAGCTCTCTAGATCTTATATCACAGCTCCTATCGAATTCGTCCCTCTCTGCCGTTCATTCTGCACGATTCTGCGATCTTGCGTCAAGTGCCTTGCTCAGCCTGGCGTGCAGCATTGGGCTTGGGCTTTTTCTAACAGTGATAGTACATGTAGTAGTGGGGCTGACGGCAGCGTTAATATATGAAGTTCACTTACCCGGTCTTGATTGGCCGGTAACAACCGCCGCTAGCTTATGTTTGCATGATTCCAACGGTCTTGCCTACCTCGAGTCGCTAAAGGTGAGGGGCATTTTCTCTTTCTTCTATAGTAGTGGGGTTGATAGTAGCGTTGACATGTGAAGTTCACTTACCTGACCCTCATTGGCCGGTAACAACCGCCGCTAGCTTATGTTTGCATGATTTCAACGGCCTTGCCTACCTCGAGTCGCTAGTGATGAGGGGCATATTCATTCGTGCGCAGATGTCTTGCCAGTGGCTTGGGAAGGGATGGTGATGGTGATGCGAACATGAGCTCGAGCACTCAACATGCTTCTCATGATAAATGCCACGTTCTTCCTTCTTACTACACAACATCCAATGCATGATCTTTCCCTCTCGCGCTATGCTCATAAACCAATCTCCATCCCTCTAAAGTTTCACTCAACACTAACCTCTCTCGGTCCTTGCTTCTCAACCCCCCTCCTAAGCGCCCCAAGAACATCCCTCCGCCTCGCAAGTCGCGCATAATAAGCCTCAATCTCTTCGTCGGTAACATCAGCCATAGTCTTCTTCCTCACACTTCCACTGAGACTGGCAGTGCTCTGTCTTAACGCGAGCACACTACTTCTCGCATCAGGCGAAGCCCTCACCGAAGCACTAGGCGGCGTCTGAAACCTGCTCCCAAACAAACCCGACATGCCCAACGCACTTCCATCAGCAGCCATACGGGGATACTTCTGTGGCGTGCGTTTACGACTCGGACTATCAGTGAGGAGTTTACTGGAGACGAGACTTCCGACAAGTGCATCTTCGTAATCTTCGCCGAGACCGCCGTTTCGTAACGAAGCGAGACCGTTTGGTAAGCGTCGGATTTGTGATTCGAGAAGATCGACATCTCCAGAAGCCTTCTCGACCATTGCCGTCATTTTGAGAATTGTTCGTTCGACGCTTTCCATTGTGGGAACGGGCTTGCCATTCGCTGCGGCTGTTGTAGAAAGCGATGCGAGATCGGCGCGGAGGAGTGACATCTTCTGCTCAACGTCTGAGAGAAGTTGGTAGACGTCTCGAAGTTTGCGGCGGAGTTCTGATTGTTGTACCGCTGTCTCGGCATCGAGTGGTGCGGCATCGTGTTCTGCCCGTCGGGCTGGATCGGTGTGTGACAGGATCTGCTTGCGCATTTCTGTAGTCCTGGCTTTGAGTTTGATCGCTTCTGACTGCTCCTTGACCAAGAGTTCGATGGTGCCGCGGACATTGTCGAGCTTGCCTGCTTCAAGCTGCTTCTCGATCTGGTCCATGACCATACCCAGCTCCGCAATCTCAGCTAGTGTCCAAGCATCGGGGTCTTCCAAATCTTCTCGTGAGCGTTGGCCAGCTTTTCGTAATCTCTCGTGCCCGGTGATGAATGTGTTGAGCGAACGTGCGTTGAGTCCGACGACATCGATCATGCTGTTAACATCTCGGAAGACCTTTTCTATTTGCCCTCCAATGCCTTGCGTCTCAACTGCTCCGGTATAGTCCTGGTGCGTGTGGAATAGCGGCATCTCCTTACTCGGCTCAATTGGCTGGGCTAAGAGAGCCTTCACACGGGCATCTTGCTCATCGGCAAGCTCGCCAGCGGTTGGCGCTCTCGGTTTTGGAGGCGCTACAGGAGTCTTCTCTCTTTCGATAGGCTTGCCAGGAGGTACGGAGGTCGTCTTGATTTGAGGCGGAAAGTTCATCTCGCCCTTTGGTGCCGCCTTTGGGAACGGACTAGTGACTGTTCGCTGCTGAGCAGGTTGGCGTTGTGGTGATGGCGATCGTGGACTCTGCTCGGTCTTACGCTGGCTTGAAGGTGCCAAAACGGGGCCTTTAGGAAAGCCTGCTGGAGTATAGCTCTGCGCTTTCGGCGTCGTTGATTTCGCGTCCGGCTTTTTCGCTTCTGGCGATTTGGGATCGGCAGGTGATGTTCGCTTGAGGAATGCCTCCAGCGCCGCTGCATTTTGTGGCTCGTATGGCACCTCATTCTCCTCGCTATCGTCATCGTCGGCAGTGTCTTCATCGTCACCTTCCTCCTCTTCGCCTTCCTCTTCGTCCTCCTCTTCTTCATCCTCCTCTTCTTCATCCTCCTCTTCTTCATCCTCCTCTTCTTCATCCTCCTCTTCTTCATCCTCCTCTTCTTCATCCTCCTCTTCGCCTTCAGCATCTTCACTCTCAGCATCATCATCCCAATTCTCACTTCCTGAATCCTCTGAAGGCCCTGCTTCTGAAGCAGCAGGCGAGAAAGTCTGACTGTGGGTTATATCCTGTGGCGGGCTGCCTGCTATGGGCACATCCTTTCGTTGTGCGAAAGGATTGGGCTTGGCAGCAGTGGGTGGGGCTTGCATCTCAGCCAATTTCTTCTTGTAGTCGAAAGTTGAAGGGTCGGGAGGCAGTGGAGCGTCCGCTGACGCCGCAGGCGTCTCGCGTTTAGGCTTGTCGAATATAGACGCCATCTCGGCTTGCTTCTTCTTGTAATCGAAGGTCTTGGGATCAGGCGGTAGGGGCGCATCCGTTGGCGTGTCGGTCTCTTCCTTCTTACCAAAAAGGCCAGATGGAACGGGCATACTAGCGAGTCCCTTGCTTTGGGCAAGGATTCCAGAACTCTTCGGCTCGGGAAAGGCAGGCGGAAAGTCCTTGAGCGAGGATTGCTTTTCCGTGCCAGGCTCCTGCTTGATCTCCGGTTCCTTGTTCTCGTCGTTGCCTAAGGTATTGCCCAGCGAGCCGAACCAGTCACCTCCAGGGTTTTTCGGCTTAGGAAGGTCGTCATGAGCCGTACCATCTCCTTGGAAAGTGGATCTGAGATCGAGTTGTGAAAGGCTTGGCAGGCAGCCTGATGACTGCGTCCCGTTCGCGTCACCCATCGTAGACTCTTTCGACCAAGCCGGCTTGCTATTGAAAGAGCTGCCTACTGGCGTAGATGGTGCCCCAAAAGTTCCGGTCGATCCCAGTGTAGCCGTTGATCCTGTCGATGTCTCATTTGAGAACGATGGCTTTCCGAATGAGCTGCCCCCGAATGCACTCGTGTCTCCTACTGTCTGGCCAGCTGATGCAAAGGGAGACTCACTGGACTGTCCCGCACTACCGAAAGGCGAAGAGCTACTCTGCACTGTGCTCGCGAACGGCGATGGTGCAGTTTTGCCTGCACTAGCGAAAGAACTCGCCGGCGTCTGTCCAGCAGCGGCAAATGGACTTGCTTTATTCTGTCCTGCGCTTGAAAACGGACTTGCTGGAGTTTGACCGGCATTCGCGAATGGATTTGGCTTTGCAGCGGCCCCGAAAGGCGACGGAGCTGGAGACTGACCACCGGTCGCCCATGGTGATTTGTTGTTTTGACCAAGACCACCAACCTGGCCAAATCCAATTCCGCCCTTCTGACCTGCTTGTGCAAAACCAGACCCTCCAACTGCAGACGGCTGTCCAAAAGCAGGCTTCCCAAAAGCAGAGGCGTCAGGAGTTGCTGATGGCCCACCCCAAGGAGAGGACTTGTTGCCACCAAGAACAGAGGCGCCGCCAAAGAGAGGCTTTGCGGGGGTTTGCGATGTCATTGCAGAAGACTGCAATGCTGATGTCGTGGGTGTCGCGGGTCGCTGACCTGACAGCCCTTGGCCGAACGTTGGTTGAGGTATTCGTGTTGGAGGTGATGAGTTTCGGCTAATAGACTCGCCAGAAGAAGGTTCAACTATTTCTGGGGCGATTTCTTGAGCGTTGTCGTCAAGAGGTCGATTGTATTTGGTCGCGAGATCATTGTAGGTGGTGAAAGGGCCGCTCTTGTGTACGATCCTGGGGTGAGCCTTGTTTTGCCGGATGCTATCCGGGTATATTATCCACCACATATACAGCAGACCATCAGTATTCAGCAAGCAAAAGCAAGGTACTGGATGCGGCGAGTTCTCGATGGTGTCGCTTTCGGTGGGTATCGGTCTTGATGCAAGAATTTTCGTGCCGTAGTCGATAGCTGTGCCGATGGAAGAAGTATCCGCACCATCGTCCACGTAGCTCGTTGGTAGAGCTGCGCGTCGAACATCATCTTTGATCATAATGCCAGCAAAAGGATCAGCCTTCTTCCAGTTCTTCCCATTTCCTGCGTCGTCGCTGGCATCAACGAACTGGCCATGCCCGAGAAGGCCGACTTCGAGTGAAGCTGTAGAAGATACGATGATCATGTCGGCAACATTCGGCTCCCAATCCGTAAGTCGCGATAGAAAGTGATTCGCAGGCAGCCTCTCCAGTCCAAAAGGCGGGCAAGGGTCTTCTTCAAATTTGTGGAAAGTAGTCGGTCCGCCTTTTGTCCGCTCGGCGAGGAAGTAGACGGAATCGTTCATAGGAGGTATGGCATCTGGGTCCTGCTGGCCGTAGACTGGAGAGTAGATGATCAGGAATTTATTCGTTTCGAGCCAGTGTATTGTCGAGACAGGCATGTTTAGTGCTTCCTGGTAGTCTGCCTCTTTCATCTCTGCCAGTTGGGGCGCGACACTTATCGAGTCTTTTAGAACGCCTTGTGGGTCGATCTGAGCACAGCTGCCGTCTCCTTTGCCGGCAATGATTTGCTTGCCCAATTTCGACCAGCATGCGCTAAAGACATTGTCGTGAAATGCTTCGCTGCTCTGACCTTTGCGCAGATTTCGTGCTTTGAGATCTGCAAGCAGAAGCTGGCCATTCGTCAAGACGATGGCAAAGAGATGTGCGCTCGCCTCATCCGGGTTGGGATTAGGCAGAAGATGTCGCACGCTCACACCGTTTGTGCCGATAGAGAAGGCGGGCTCCTTATTGCCGCTGACGAGCGCATTGGTGTCATATACAGCCAGACCTCCTCCTTGATCAGAGACGATGACCAGACAGCTCTCATCTGCGCTGAATGCGACATGCGACAAGCGAGGCGTATCGATGATCAGATGTGCCTTGACTGGTATAGGAAATGGCTCGTCTTCGCGCACTGCATACGCCTTGCCCTCCAGTGGCACTCCATTCTCTCTGATTAGGCGCTCCTCGCCTTTCTCCAGTCTCTTGGGAATTGCTTGCCTCCGAAGCGACTCAGTGTTTGCGATGACCAACGACGATGGCCCAGCCACTGCTAGAATTCCCTTCGCACTTGCGATACTCAGCAACGAAGCATGCACCGGTGGCTGTGTCTCCCAGGGCGCTGTTAGCTTCAATGGATTTCCACCTTTCTGCAGACTAATGTCGGCCAGAGCAATGTCGTTGGTCTCGATTTGTGGCAGACCATGACCAGGCCTGGCATTGCTGCCGCTGTCGCCAAAGTTCATCTTGCCATCAACTTGGTATGATGCTTTCGGACTTCCTGTGTGATGCTCGCGGTCGGGGTGATGTTGGCGATCGTGTTTTGGCGTTGCTGGGGAAGATGGTTGCGCCGTGGTGCTGTTGCGGAGCGACTCGTTCAATGAGCGGACTTGCACAGGCGGCAAACTGGTGGTGGACAGTCCGAGTCGGTGGATGGGTTCGGTGTGGATGCGCTTGGGCGAATGTGCTCCAGCAAGTTGGCGAGTACAAGAGGCAGAAAGTACTTCACTTGATCGCAAAGTCGCCGAGCTAAACACACGTCTCAGAACGTGATCGCGCGTCCGAGCTCACATCTCGACGTGACTGCGGGGCAGAATGTGTAGTCACCGACGAAGAGGTATCGAGCAGTTCTATCAGATCGGACACTCCCGACAGGTGCTTGACTGGAGAGGTGTGTCGTTGCTGTGATATGCCATAGAAATTGCTACATTGTCCATAGCAAAGATACCTGATATTGTCGAGAGCTTCCCTCCACTGTCCAGCACTGCATTTCTGTACCGCAACTTCTCGCATCGGCAGTGGGCTCACAAGCTCCGACTCCGACGTCTCAGCAGCCTGAAGCGAACTGACCATCCACCAAACATCGAACCAGCTGCACCAACATCTCTCACCCCTCTGCGCGCAATACAATCCCTCGAGACCAACATACGCGAAACTTTGATCCAACATGCCGGGCTTCGACTTCAGCAACCACAACAGAAATGTCGCCCTGCACGCCGCTGGTGTTCCACTCCCCAAGGCCACATCCACCGGTACCACCATCGTCGGCTGCCTTTACGATGGCGGTGTTGTCATCGCAGCAGATACCAGAGCTACTAGCGGCCCCATAGTAGCTGACAAGGTATGCGCGCCAACCGACAACTCCCATACAAGAGCGCTCCACCATATGCTAACGTTCCGCCCCAGAACTGCGAGAAGCTTCACTACATCGCCCCTCAGATCTGGTGTGCAGGCGCCGGAACTGCAGCAGACACCGAATTCACCACAGCCCTCATGTCCTCCAACCTCGAACTACATTCGCTCTCGACCGGCCGAAAACCACGCGTCGTGACTGTCATGACCATGCTCAAGCAGCACCTCTTCCGATACCAGGGACACATCGGCGCATATCTGGTCGTAGCGGGCTGTGATCCTACAGGGAGCCATCTCTTCACAGTCCACGCGCACGGAAGCACAGACAAGCTTCCATACGTGACCATGGGCTCAGGCTCGCTGGCCGCCATGAGCGTTTTCGAGACCAGCTGGAAGGGTAACTTGACCAAGGATGAAGCAGTGAAGCTTTGTGCGGACGCGATTGAGGCTGGTATCTGGAATGACCTGGGATCTGGAAGCAACGTGGATGTGTGTGTGATTACACAAGAGAAGACGACGTTGATGAGGAATTACAAGACGCCCAACACCAGAGAGAGGAAGCAGAGAGATTACAAGTTCCCACGGGGCACTACTGCTGTGCTCAACGAGAAGATCATCACGAAAGAGGAGATCAGCAAGTATGTGACGGTGCAGGACATTGGCGATGGCGAGGCTGGCATTGGTGAGAAGATGGATGTGGACACACAAGCGACGGCATGAGCGAGCAGACGTGAATCAGAGGCAAGGAAGTACGGCAAATAGCGTCCTGTTGAGGATGAGCATGCCATGTAAGATACGGTGAGCTTGGCCCAAGGCTGATCGCTGCCTGCTTGAGGTGGCGCGCTCGAGGAGATGGCCGAAGATCTCAAGACTACCGGTCAACAGTCCTGGGTGCAGTGTTAGCATAGATCGGATCAGTTCTAGGCTGTATTCAATGAACATGTCACGAAAGAAGCCCCCTCTGGCACTTCCTACCAGATTCGGAACCAGGAGTAAATTTCCACGTCGAGTTGCGGCGAGGACTTTCTTTGTTGCTCACTGAGATGCACTCAGAACACGTACTCGTACTCATAGTCACAGGACCTGCATTGTTGTAGCATTCGAATTCCGATACGCTCTGGTGTTCCGCAACATCAATAATTCATTTTGATTGGAAGAACCGATTCCGATGGCGTTTGCGGTAGCTCTGTAGCTGCTAGCAATTGGGAGCACGAGCGCACACGACTGATAACCTGAGGCTTCCACGACACCATCTTGGTGTGCTTGAGACTGGACTTCACAAGCAATGGAAGAGGTGGAAGGGCGCCACCGTCAGAGATGGCTATATCTATCAGCTGTCACCAAAGCTCAATGCGGAAGTTGCGAGTGCACGCCACGTTTCCTACCCCAGTGAAGCAATGACTTGATCGTATTGTGGTTTGTTGACATTGAGCTTTTTAGCGATCCTGTTACTGGACTTGGAACTCCGAATTATCCGAAGATGGCAAAGCTGTTTAGCAGACTGCCTCGATAGCAGCTCGGTCGTATGTATCTGAGGCCATGATCTCGCGGCCTTGCATCCTCAACGCCCATGCGATCACAACGGGCGATTCGACCTCATCCCCCGCAATACCCTCTATCCTCTACACCTACCCACAGCAACCCTCCCGATATATTACCTCCCAATCCTTCCTATCCGTTCTCGCTTCACCATCTCCCTCGTAGCTATCCTCCCCCACACTCCTCACCCCACTCCCTTCATTCTCCGCACCCTCATCATCCCCTCCCCTCTCCCACCCCAGTGTCCCTCTACTCCTCCTCCTCCTCCCTCCCGCAAACATCCTTATGTCCCCCCTTCCAATCCTCCCTCTGACACCCCTTCCCACAATACCATACATCCTTACTCTTACACTTCCCACACCTCATCATCTTCCCCTCAACCCCATCACAAACACTACACGGCACTGGAATCTTGTGATCTGCGCCTACTGAAATCTGGACGGGGGATGGGAGGTCGAGCCAGCGGAGATCCTCTTCGGTCGCGGCTTCAGTAAGGTCAGAACTCTCTGGTTCGCCGTCTTTGTTGGTAGAAGTCTCTTCAGTAAGGTCAGCACTCTTTGGTCCCTCTTCGTTCGCGGCGTGATAAGCTCGATATTGCTCGAAATAGGCATGAAAGACTGGAGGGGAGAGTTTTCTTAGGACTTTTTCTGTCAGGGCTTCGACGCGGTCTGCCAGTGCTTCGTGGGTTTCGGCATTTGTGTCGCCTTCGTAGGCGAGGAGGGAGCGGAGTTCCGGGATGGGTTCGAGGAGGGGGGATATGATGTTGGAGATGTAGGAGAGGAGCTAGATGGGAAGGAACTTAGCTTGAGGGACGGAGGATGTTGGGGGGTATGAATGGTGGGTATGGATGGTGAGGATATTGGACTGTTTTAGTTGATTTTTATGAAAGGGTGGTAAGGGTGGCGATTTGTTCGAGATCGAGGTAAGGTATTACTCAAGCTGAGTCTCCTCTCCTCTCCTGTTGAAAAAGGAAAAAGAACGTACCGCTTTGACATGCTCCTCCGGCAACTCTTTCTCATCAGCTCGGATGGCGACTACATCACCCGTCCAATCCTTCGCGGCAGGGGCACAGCTCCCAAAGCTTTCCTCCTGCGTTATTTCGAAGAAGAGAGTTTTCGCGATCGCCGGGTTTGGAAGGGACGTTTCTCTGCCGCCTCTTCATTAGCAGAGTTGTTCCAAGAGTACTTGATCTGAAGCCACCTTACCGATGCTGCCATTGCGCCAGTTGAAGAGGGAAGCCGACTCTCTTAGAAATCTCGCTTGTCGTCCAGGCGTGGTGAGATAATGATACTGGAAGTTTGTAGAACTCTACTTCAGCTTCTGAGTTCTCGGTCGCGGCGATGGGTCTGATCATAACCGCCCAAGCTTGGCCTTCTGGGAGAGGCGCGCTGGGGTCGAGGTGCGCGAAGCGAGGGAGGATTGGCATTTTGGGCGAGAGTGGTGGGTGGATGTTTTAGTGAGGGTGGAGATCCTATGTTGGTGATGTTTGCTGATGAATACATGGTCGTTTTGGAGTTGACCGGTGAGCAAACGATATTATGCAGGCAAGAGCTGCGGCTCCCTGCATGTGAAAGCTTGGCAAAGAAGCCGCACTCGAGCAACTTACTTCTTGGCAGTCCGACTTGCAACTCGACATCGACACAAACCCTCGGACACGAAAATTCACGAAATGGCGCCAGACGGAAAACTTCAAACTGAAATAGCGGCATCAGATCTCGTTGGCGCAGTCTTCCACTTAGCCACCACAGCTGCAGAGCAAATGCCGCACGCGATGTCGCCTGCTGCAGCAGCGCCGTGCCCATTTCTCGACAAGATTCCAGCTGAGCTTCGCAACGAGATCTATGAGCTCACCTTCGCTTCAGACCATAATGTTGAGGAGAAAGTAGAACTGTTCGAGGCCAGGCCACCGGAGAAATCGATCCTGTCCACCTGCCGTCAGATTTACGAGGAGACTCGAGGATACTACATTGACGCGTTTCGGAGTTACTGGCAGGATACTGAGTTCTACGTTGAATGTGAAGAGCCGCCGAAGCCGCGGCACGACAGGTATCTTGACCAGGAGGAGGAGCAGGAGAAGTCGGACGATGAAGATTACCCCAACGCCATAGACAAAGTCGAGCTTGTCACGTTTTGCGCAAGAGACGTCAATCAAATCCGCAAGATCTCCGTCTGCAGAGATTATCATTACAGACACGGACAGCATATCTTCGACCGCTGGGTCCTTCGAAATGGGACCTGGCGCAGCGTCACTTGCCCGGGGGCAGCTCTGGCTATTCAAGTCAGTTATAGGGGCACAGTCCACATCGAGATCTACCAGACAGAAGGGACGAAGTATCCAAATTATTCTCGCCTTTTCAAAAGCCACCGAATTCCGCCCTATCTGCAGCTTGCTTGCGTGATCTGGCACTTGCGCCAGTGCAGGAGGTGGTACAATGAGGTTGAAATCAGTGCTCTGCCTATCTGGGGTCGTCGAGGTCGCGAGGAATGATTCACAGATCCAGACAGTATGTTTGCAACTATCACATTTCCCATAGCGACGCATTTACTAACTTCTGCTGATAGTAATCAAAACTCCAACCCTCGAGCAAACGAAAGGCTATAGGGCGGCTGGTGTGGCACTGTTTCGAGGAACAAATCGACATCAATGGCAGTGGAGAGTAGACATGGAGTTGAGCTTTGCGATATGAGATGGTGCCTTCATGGAGACGGCGCTGGGAGATAGGAAGGAAGCTTGGTGATGTGGATGAAAGTTGCGGAATGCAGTGATTCGCTCGACATGGTTTCATCAAAAGACTAGTACTCTGTCGCCGAGCAAACTAGGTATCAGATTGAATCTGCATGCGCGTCACTTCCGATTTGTCGTCGTTTTACGGCCTCTGTTACCGAAATTTGACTACTGTTGTCGTTGCAGTAGCTCGCTACACTGCGAAAAGAGCCGTATGTGAGGTAGCCCCGCGCCTCTAAGACTGCTGATGTGGAGGCAGGAGCTGCGAGTCCCTGCATGTGAAGGCTTGGCATTCACGCGCGACTTGCAGGCAGTCATTTGAGGCCAAAGGCTTCTATAGCAACGCATACCGAAGCTACTGGTCGACCACGAACTTTGTCGTCACCTGTTTCCCGGCTCGATTCAGTGACATTGCCGCTGTTCATTTCAGTGGAGAAGATGTCGATCACATCACCAAGCTGCAGGTAGTTCGAACCAGCGACCGCATCCCTCTAATGAAGTGCACCTTCGAGCACGGAATCTGGATCATAACCGACATGGAGACACTCCCCGGTCTTTCTGTCCCCGGTCTTCCTGTGTGTATGCAACTCGAACACGATACGACACGCGACGACATCATCCGCACCTTCACCCCTACCGGCTCGCCTAAGCACTCAGACGAGCCCGTCCACAAGCAGCTCTTGCTGCTCATGGCCCTATTTGATAGAAGAGCTAAGGGCATCGGTGCACTTCTCACGTAAACTGGTTTCTATGGTTTCTGGGGGTCTTGGAAGGTTACCAAGTGATTCAGATACCTTGGATGTAAGTTCAACAGCGGCGAAGTGGTCCCTGATAACCATTTCGTGTGATGGTGATGCCGATGGAGCCCAGAAATGACAGGGAGCGTCAATAAGTGTTCAGGCAATTGATAGGCGCGGGAAGAAATTGGTGCAGCAGGAGTCAGCGAGAAAAGGAGAAACTTGGGCATGCGCGAAGGGGGACCTGAGTTTCCAGCACAGCGCGTAGTGATAAGGCATACGCGAGAAGGATATCGCGAGCATCGATCAGAGTTTTGGATATCTTCATATTCCCCGTTCAGCTTCGCAATTCTCCCCAAAGATTTCTGAAATCGATATCCGTTCACTAGCACCCCTTGACCGATGGCATCGTACGAACCGGTATAGGTGGGATCTTTTCGAAGGACTAATTTGCGATTCATAGCGTTGAGTGCTAGTATGTCTCCTTCGCAAGCTTTTGCGCACAAAAATTCTCCTATCAGGATGTAGTATACAAGGCGGAATGCCGAGTCTCGCGCCAGTCTTTCGTCGCCCTGGTCTCCCAACTCCAGTTCCTGCTTTCTCGCTTTCATATCTAGAATAACGTCGTCCAGAAATTGACCTTCCAGAACGTCTGCCTTGAAGAACGCATAGGTAGGTACAAGCTGCTGGAACAAGCTGACATGGATTTTGAGAAGGTGGAAATATTGTCGATAACCGGATGCATGTAACCCCCTTCAGCGCCACATCAAACAGGGGAATTGGAATCATGTCTTGCTTTGGCTGGCAGTACGCTCTTCACAAACGCCATTAAGTAGGAAAACTTATGCTGCAAAGGATGCATCGTTTCCCACCTGAGTTTCCGTCTTAGAAGACACAGATGCTATGTTCTTTCCGACTGATTCCTGTGTATCTCAGCACAAATGTTCCCACACGGGACAACACCACTTACAGTAGCTCCCGTTGCACAAGGTTCACCAGCATTGTGTTGCTTCGAGTCACTGGGCATTGTGTTAGCCCACTCACAGTAAAGATCCCTTGGCAACAGATTTCTTGTCTCTTCCCGACTGATGATCAGTTTTCTGTCGTCCGGAACAAACCTGATTGTGGCAGAAGAGTATTCCTTCAATACTTCGATGATTTTGTGTATCAAGGCACCCAGCTTCTGCAGTGCTTCTCCCTTTCTCCCCTCCCATTGTTTCACTAGTGCTGTCACATCTTCCACTCTGGGCGGATCAAAGACGCCCTTGTTGTGATAAGCTCGCACCAGCTTCGGCGTTTGAGAGACCCACAGCTGTGGAGCGACTTCGTCTATGGAGAGCGATTTGTGTGCTACACGAGTCTTAATCTCGAGCGTAGAGGTAAGCGGCACTTTGATCCCGGTCTTCCAGATGGTCAGCTTCGAAGAAGCTGCACCACCTGCACCATGTGGACGATCCTCGTTGAGAGACAGAGAACGCAACAGATCAGTCATGTCGCCTTCCTGATCCTTGTCGGCTGGTGCACCGCGGTCGTCCACGTAGCCGTCCGTCTCGTACCTAATCAGAAAGCGAAGATCACAAAAGCCGTACGATATGATCCTGTGGTGACCTGTGCTCTCAGAAACCGAAGGCTTAGTATAAGATTTCTCAAACTCGTGTCCAAAGCCTCTGAACTCGTTCGGTCCAATGAATTCTTGAACCTTAGCTTCCTCACGACAGAAAATCACCGTCCCCTCTACGAACTCCGCTCGGATCGTGAAAGCTTCGTGGCTGTTTCTCGATGTAGCAGGATCCACAAACGCCAATAATTTTCGGATGTTGTTGCGGTCGCTCACGAGATCGGTTTCACGGATGTTGAAGTCGGGGTGCTCGATGAACAAGGCACGGAAAAGGGGCTCCATAGGGCTTTCTGGGTGGCGAGCTGCGTTTTGAGCAATGTACACATGGCCACTATCTTTCTTCACTTGTTTCGGATGCTTTGCGGGAGACCACAGAGGAGGGCCGCCAGGCACGGCTATGGTAGCGACCGGTGCTTCAATCCAGTTGTATGACGCCAAATGTTCCACATTTGTAATCTTGGCAGTCCCATGAGTTGGGAGACCCGAAAGGTCTGAGTGGGAGACTTCCGACGTAGTTGACATTGTCGCATGAAAGTGGGAGGATGCTGCTGCTGTATTCTACTGGGTTTCTCGGGTTACGTGAGAATGCCAAGCCTCCGCAGAGCCGCGCACCGCCTATTTGAGAATATATCGTGTTGTCGCCGTTTTAATAGTATAGAGCCCTCTAAGGTATTGTTTGTCCGTCTCTTATCGCTATAGCAATAGTAATACGTAGGAAGTCGCAAGGTACGCCGCCGCCGGCGCGTCGTAACGGTTATAGTACTAAAATACCGCTAGCGACTAAGGTAAAAGTAAAGCAGCTATTCGAGGGTAGATTTAGTATTTAGGACATCTATAAGAAGTTAGGAGTCGCGGTTTCGACGCTATATCGATAGCGTATTAATTATAACTTATTTAGCGAGTATTACTACCTAATTCGAGGCAAACCGAGTCCGTAACTAGCGATAACGGCGGAGATACGAGAGGTAAGTAAAACGATAGAAATATTAATGTTTCTACTAAGTTGTAAGCGTTAGTAGCTCGAAGAATACTTAACTAATCGACCGGAGATATACCTCGAAGAAATAGCTCTCGAGCTATATAACAACTTTAGTTTAATAGTATCGCTAAAGACGATCTACCGTATCCTTACCGAAGTAATAAAATAGAGCCGTAAAGCATCGCGTAAGATCGCTTTAGAGCGTAATACGAAGAATAGAGCGGTTTAGAGCGAGAAGTATAAAGATTAGCCTATCGAGAAGTTAGTATTTATAGACGAGACTACTTTAAATAAGAAGACTACGTACCGCAAATACAGATAGTAAAGGACGGAAACTAATACTACTACTACTACTAGCAGTAATAGTATAGGCTACCGAGAGTAACATAACCTATAGCAATATAGGCAGCTATATTTAGTATAATAGGATAATAAGAGGGTTGCTTAGGCTAATAACTAGAGCCCTGCAATATAGGCATTATAGAAGTGTAATATAAATAATGTACTATACGAGGTTAGTGCTCTATCTATAATATAAAAGGAGGCCTCTTATATAGGCTTAAAACTTAGCCTAGGTATATAGGGCCGGTTACTAGCTAATATCCCTCCCTTTCTTCGTATCTAACTAGACACGCTTGTTAGGACCAAAGAGGTTACACGTAATTAGCATATAACCGGGCTCGAGTGAAGCTAGGGTCTTAATGCCTTAGGCAGGGCTTAGCGCTTAGTAATAGGCTAACTTGCCTGCCTTCCTCTCTCTCCTTCTAGCTCCTTATCGAATACTACCTATACCTACTACTACCCTATCTACCTGCTAATATACCCTTCTTATATAATATAGTATTCGATCTACCCTTTAAGGGCAGTAGCTAGATAGTCCTTATTTTAAGCTTTTAGCGGTATAGCTACGAAAACTATCGATTTAACTATATTACGCCCGAAGAACGGGACCTATACGTACTATTCTATCGAAACAACCGTACTAATTATTAAGCAAGGCCTTCTATACGGCCTATTATACTAAGTTAAGCATACTAGGCCGATATCTACTAATTCCGCTATATCCGTATCTTAGGGGCTAATAATATATTATTAGTGTCGCCCCTTATAATAGCCGGTTTATTACGAAACAATAACCGTGCTGCCGCTAGCAGCGCTAGCAATAACAACACTAGTAGCATAGTGCCTACCGAAGTACCTACTAAAGCGCCTACTAAAGCACCTGCTAAAGAACCTACTACTAGGCCTGCCGAAGAACCTATAGTTCTAGGCGACGACCTAGAGTTGCCTATTAACGACATACTTAACAACATTGTTAATCGACGATATAGCTAGCTAGCCTTTAGCCCCTAACTAGTAGCGAGACTTTAAGAAGCTACTTAAAACAGGCTTACTGCCTTGCGTTAAGAACAATAGCTAAAGGATAATCTTCTCGAGATTCGCCGCCTCTAGGAATCTCTAACAACTACTGCTAAGCCAATAGCAGGACCTTCTTTACTACCTATCTAAAAGAAGGATGCTAAACTTAAGGACTATACCGTATTTAATAGCTCTAGTCGGAAGCAGTACAACGACTACATTCGTAACTATAAACTTAACTAGCGCAACGTACTAAGAGCGCTACTAGACGACTATTCCTTAGTCGTATACGCTATGTAGTACATTAATAGCGACCTAAAGCGTATATAGGATAACCATTTCGACTCCCTTAATAACTAGACTGCTGTTTAGTAGCAAACCTATAAAACTATTATACTAGACACCCTTAGAAACCCTATACTAAGGCAACAACATGCTTAGGACTAGTACCTTCAAGCTAAGCAAAAGACTAACTAATCGGCCCGCTTATTCGAGGCCTATTTGAAAACCCTTAAAGACGACCTTCCGCCTAAGACTAATTCTATATAGATCTCCGAGATATGCCTAAAACTTAGATAGGAGCTTATCCTTAAATTGGACCGCCGCCGTGTGTTCGAATAGGCTAACCTTATACGCATTCAATTTATAATTAAAGTAGAGACTATAGAGCGTGCGGTATAGCTATAGTAACGGTTAGAATCTAAGATACGACTATCTACTAACCGTAGCCGCGGTAGAAACTAAGGAGGTACTCCCTAAACTAACACTACTAACAATAGAAATAGTAACGACTAACGTAGAAGAGGCAGGGGCCGATACCGCGGTAGAAACCCCTAGCGAGGAAGAGGACAAGGAAGGGGCTTATTTCTATATGCCCCTAATCGTTCCTCTAATTCTAGCGCTAATCCGAGTAGATATAGCAACCTCCTAACCGGATTGAAGTGCTTTAACTACGACAGCACTAGTTACCTACTAGGCTAATACGACAAACCTAAGGATTAGGCCCGAATCGACCGTGCTACCGCCGAGCACCGTAAGCACCTTTTAGCCGCTAATACTATCCCTATCGGTCCTTTGAAAAAAGAATAAGCGCCGCACTAACTGTTAGCCTTATACGGCGTAAGACTATCGACATTGTACTAGCTATTATACGTACCTGTCTCGTATCGGACACGTATAGGACTAACTATAAGACTAAGGTTATACTAGATCTAGGAAATTTAGTTAGTACCCTTATTAGCTATCGCCTAGCTAAGCAATTAGACCTTCGACAACTGCCTAGGACTAACCTGCTAACCCTTGCTTAGTTTAATAACGCTCGGCACTTAACCTACAGAGCCTACTATATCTATATAGCCCTAAGAGACGACCTCGGCAATAAGCGCCTACTAAACTTTACTGCCTACGCAGTAGACATAGATAGCCTCCTATCTAATATTGTTATTAGCAACCCTGTTCTTAAGTACTATGCTATAGTTATAGACTTAGGCAGTTAATAGTAGCGATTTAGAATCGCTAGGAAAGAGGACATTAAACATATTAATATTAGCGAGTGCCCTAATAATATTAGGGTCCTATTTATTAGCAACCTAACCCTAGCGGATCCGACGGCCGACCTGCTCGGTAGTAATAACGATAAACCTATGCCCCCTAACGGCATAGACCCTAATTAGCTTGCTCGCATACTAGAGCCTATTCGAGAGACCTATATTAATATATTCAAACACTACCTAGCATCGACGTTGCCTATATTCAAAGAGACGGATTATAAGATTGATATTATAAAGGGTAAGGAGGTTCCTTTTAGCCCCCTCTACAACCTTAGTAAACGAGAGCTTGCTATATTGCGTAAGTACCTAGAGGAAAACCTAGCTAATAGTCGAATTCGGTATAGTAACAGCCCTGCTAGTACACCTATCCTATTTGTACTAAAGAAAGATAGTAGCCTACGTCTATATATCGACTATCGTAGGCTTAATACTGTTACTATTAAAGACCGCTATCTACTTCCTCTTATTAATAAGACCCTCGATCGCCTTTTAGGTGCCTACTACTATACTATACTAGACATTAAGGATACGTACTATCGTATCCGCATTCGTAAGGGCGACGAATAGAAAACAGCCTTCCGTACTCGCTATAGCTATTTCGAATACTTAGTTATGCTATTTGGCCTAGCTAATGCCTCTATAACATTTTAGTTCTACATTAATCGGGCCCTTTCAGGCCTATTAGACTATCTCTATATAGTTTACCTAGATAACATCCTAGTTTATATACATTTACCTAACATTGCGGAGCACTAGGCTATAGTCTATAAGGTACTCGATCGCCTACGAGCCTATAGCTTATATTACAAGCCTTCTAAATGCACCTTTGCTACTAAAGAGGTGTCCTTCCTTAGCTTCCTTGTATTAACCGAGGGTATTAAGGCTAATCCTAATCGGATTAAGACTATTACTAAGTAGCTAACCCCTACTAGTATTAAGGAGCTTTAATTATTCCTCGGCTTCGCTAATTTCTATCGTCGCTTTATTAAGGGCTATTTACGGCATATAATGCCCCTAACTAAGCTCACTAAAACTAAGGCTAACCTAACTAGAGAGTTTAAATAGACTAATAGAGCACAAGCCGCTTTTAACGGTTTAAAGAAGCGATTTACTAAAGTCCCTTTATTATACTATTTTGTACTAAACAAGTAGATCCGAATTAAGACTAACGCTTTACAGTTCGCTGTATTAGCTATAATGTCTTAGCAGTCAGACAGTAACTACTACTAGCACCTAATTGCCTTCTTCTCGAGAAAGATAATTAATACTAAGCGTCGCTACGAGACCTACGAGTAAGAGCTCTTAGCTATTATAGAGGCCTTTAAGTATTAGAGGCATTACCTCGATAGGGCCTAATATACGATACAGGTCTATATAGACTATAACAACCTCCGTAGTATTACTAAGGTTACTAGAGTTATAGGTCGACAGGCTAGATAGGCCGTCTACCTCGCTAGGTTTGATTTTGATATATTATATTAGCTAGGCGTAAGTAACCCTGCTAATAGCCTATCGAGGCGACCTAACTACGACAGCGGGACTTAGCAATCCATTAATTTATTATTTCCAACCCTATAGCATAAGATTGCTATAGCCCGTATTATTAATAAGTACGCGTAGGATAAGCGGCTTAC